CAAGTACTGGTCCGACAATCGCGAGCCCATGCTGCAGTTCATCGAGCAGGTGCATCATGGCATCCGCGGCTTCGTGCACAGCTCCATTGGCACGCCGATTGCCGGCGCTGTGGTGCGCCTGGACGGAGGCAATCACTCGACCTACAGCCACACCTTCGGTGACTACTGGAAACTGGCCCTGCCGGGTCAGCACAACATCACTGTTCTCGGCGACAACTACGCGCCGATCCGGGTGGAGGTAGAGGTGCCCCAGGAGGAGCCCTTCGAGATGCGCCTGGACGTCACCCTCATGGCCGACGATCCACAGCACTGGGCCTCGGCCAATGACTTCCGCATCATCGAGAATGTGGTCAATACGCGCTACCACACCAATCCGGAGCTGCGCGCCCGCCTGGCGGAGCTGGAGAACCAAAATGGCCAGATAGCCAGCTTCGGTTACGCCGACAACGAGTTTAGCCGATTCTTCAATTACCTCAAGATAACTTCTGATGTGAGTTCCCCATCATTTAAGATATCCTGGTCAAGAATCGGATGGAAACTGGGAGAGATGCAGGGACTATTGCAGGGCATGAAGGAGTTAGGAAAAGGGGGTTCCATTAGAATAAGAGGGAAAAAATCTGAAAAATATTTGATTGCTAGATTTTGATGCAGAATGATGAAGAATCGATATAGAAATCGTTTAAGGTACTCCGCTTGAGAATCGGATCAGAATTGGGGAAGATATATACATCGCCGTTGGCCATATGGGGGAAATCGACATTTTCAAGGGGTCCCATCAGGAAAAATGGAAAAAAATCTGAAAAATATTGTGTGTCAGGATTTCGGTGCAGAATGATGGAGAATCGATATAGAAATCGTTTAAGGTACTCCGCTTGAGAATCGGATCAGAATTGGGGAAGATATATACATCGCCGTTGGCCATATGGGGGAAATCGAAATTTTCAAGGGGTCCCATCAGGAAAAATGGACAACAAATCTGAAAAATATTTTGTTGCTAGATTTTGATGCAGAATGATGGAGAATCGATATAGAAATCGTTTAAGGTACTCCGCTTGAGAATCGGATCAGAATTGAGGAAGATATAGACATCGCCGTGGGCCATATGGGGGAAATCTGAATTTTCAAGGGGTCCCTTTAGAAAAAATGGACAAAAAATCTGAAAAATATTTTGTGTCAGGATTTTGATGCAGAACGATTGGAAATCGATATAGAAATCGTTTAAGGTACTCCGCTTGAGAATCGGATCAGAATTGGGGAAGATATAGACATCGCCGTGGGCCATATGGGGGAAATCTGCATTTTCAAGGGGTCCCTTTAGGAAAAATGGACAAAAAATCTGAAAAATATTTTCTTGCTAGATTTTGATGCAGAATGATGGGAAATCGATATAGAAATCGTTTAAGGTATTCCGCTTGAGAATCGGATCAGAATTGAGGAAGATATAGACATCGCCGTGGGCCATATGGGGGAAATCTGAATTTTCAAGGGGTCCCTTTAGGAAAAATGGACAAAAAATCTGAAAAATATTTTGTTGCTAGATTTTGATGCAGAATGATGGGAAATCGATATAGAAATCGTTTAAGGTACTCCGCTAGCGAATCGGATCAGAATTGGGGAAGATATAGACATCGCCGTGGGCCATATGGGGGAAACCGACATTTTCAAGGGGTCCCTTTAGGAAAAATGGACAAAAAATCTGAAAAATATGTTGTTGCTAGATTTTGATGCAGAATGATGGGAAATCGATATAGAAATCGTTTAAGGTACTCCGCTTGAGAATCGGATAAGAATTGGGGAAGATATAGACATCGCCGTGGGTCACATACCTTGATACCATCACTAGTGCCTACTAATCTTTGATTTTGGTTTCATATCCTTCACAGATCGGAGAACCTGAGGAACAGAAATACAAGCTGCTGGTGGTGAGCTCCCTCTTCGATACCTTGGCTCCCCTTGGCAGGGAGCTGGTACTTAACCTGGTGCGCCACCTGCTCGAGGGCTACAAGGTGCAGGATCACTCCGTGGTGCAACTCCTGAAGCGCAGTGTCATCTACTTCCTGCCGCAGACCCAAAAGTTCCCGGCTGTCTTCGACATGTACAACTACAAGTGAGTCTTCCCTACGCCATGTAGTGTCCATAACTCCAAACTAATCCATGATTCCTATAGCACCTCCATTTGCGATCCTGTGATGGGCGATGAGCTGGCCGAACGCATCCTGAGTCCCGAGACGGAGCAGAGCAAGGACATGTTCCTGCAATTCCTGCGCAGCGAACGCTTCGATCTGATGCTCACCTTCGGAGCAGGTAGCTCGGAACTGGTCTATCCCAAAGGTGACTCCATACTGGAGAAGTTCGCCCATGGAATGCAGAAGACGGAGTTCAGCTACTCGCCCCTGCACTGCAGCCCCTCCTCCACGAGGGACCAGCATCGGGAGACCACCAAGCGACTGACCAACTTTATGTACCGGATGTACAACCTTCCGATGTATACGCTGGGCATATCCTGCTGCCGGATGCCGAGCCACAAGCAGATTGCCTCCGTGTGGCGCAAGAATATCGACAAAATCAAGAACTTTTTGGCTTTGGTGCAGACAGGAGTCAGTGGTGTGGTCCAGAACGACAAGGGGCAGCCGCTGCGGGAGGCCTCCGTCCGGCTGCTGGAGCATCAGCGGTTCTACAACGTCACACGGAACGAGGCCCGCTTCCAGCTGATGCTGCCGCACGGCATCTACGGCGTGGAGGTGTCCGCCCCCAACTACGAGTCGCAAATGCTGAAAGTGGACATCCAAGATGGTCAGATCACTGACTTGGGCACCATACACCTGCACACCTTCAACGTGATCCGTGGCGAGGTGCTGGAGCTGCCGAACAAGTCCACAACGGACAAGGGAACCACCAGTGTCGAGGGTGTGGTGCTGGACGAGAGCAACCATCCGGTGAGGAATGCCAAGGTGTCGGTGGTGGGACAGGCCCAGTTGCGCAACTTCACCAACCGCATGGGGGAATATCGGTTGACGGCTGTGCCGCTGGGAACCATTACCCTGAAGGTGGAGGCACCCCGCCACCTGGAGGCCACCCGGCAGATGCACTTGTACGCCGGCAGTTCGGCTGCCGAGCATGTGGTATTCCATCTGAAGGTCAACGAGCACATCTTCGGGCTGCCCCGCTTCCTGTTCATCCTGATCGCCAGCATCCTGATCATTATCGGTGTGGTGGTGTGCGTCCTGTGTGCCCAGTTCTGGTTCTATCGTCGCCATCGTGGCAACAAGCCGTACTACAACTTCTCGCTGTTGCCGCAAAAGGGTCGGGAGCAGTTCGATCTGGACGACGAGGCGGGCGACGATGGCGAAACGGAGCTCTTCCGGTCGCCCATCAAGCGTGAGTTTGCTGAAATTTTTAAGAGAGCTAGTTAATTAATGGTATTATATATTTTTAAAAGGTGGCATGACCATTCAGCCCTACTTCGATGAGGAGCAACTGGAGCGCATCTTGCACACGGACGACGAGGAGGACGAGGATGGGCCGCGCATGGAACCGGAACCGGAGGACGATGTGGTCGATGATGAAAGTGGCGATGAGATCGTGATGCTGCACAATCATGGCAACAGGCGACGTCACTAGAGGATCCCCAGAACCACAACAAAAACAACAAAAACCACTGCAACACAACATAACTGTGATTCGAAACGTTTTCAAGAGAAGATACCAGCGTCCTGCTCCTCTAGGATTTTTTTTTTATTTAATTCCTTATATATTTTTTGTTTTATTTAAAAGCATTTGTAACTTAATTTGATTTAGAACCGGCGCCTAATGTTAGTAGATTATTGGAAAGCTTGCAGCTGGATATAGAAATGCATCACAATCGTCAGCTTTAAATAGAAAATGTTGTGCCCCAGGATCCAGACCCTAGGACCCAAAAATCCCCCCCAGAAACCTCGGCGAATCTCTTCCAAAAGCTTCTGTCCAGCCAAGAGAACTCTATAGGCATTAATAATCATAAACGTAAAACCTAACTTAAGACTGAGAAGAAGGCATCAGAAGAACCACAAAAAATTAGACACGAATCTAGAAAAATAGTTAATTGTACAAAGAGAGAAATATTTCAGACATTCCAAGCTGTACTTTTCAAAAAAAAAAAAAAAAAAATTAATAAATCGAAATCTAGCCAAGGGCATACAGTGCGGTTCAAGACTGTAGAACGGTCTTAATATCAAAAGCTTTATTTTCTTCTTAAATGTTTCTTTTTAAATGAATCTTAACTCCAACTATTATTTTGTAAGACCAATGATTTGTTTTTAATTTTAAAAATCAATAAGAAACCCACTGTATGCATATTTTAGGGCTGATTTGTTCACTTGGCTTCCATAAATTAAAAAAAATAATTAACATTATAATATAAAACAGTTAACAGCTTTTGTAATATTACCTTTGATATGCCTAAACTTGAAAATCCATAAAAAAACAAAAAAAAATTATATTTATATGTAATGCACGATTTTAAAATTTATTATTATATTTAGAGCACAGCCAGTAAATAAAGGTGCAACATATATACAGAATATATATGTAAATAAATATATATATTTATATATATATCTATGCTATAATATATATATATATACTGATATACCGTATACATATCCACAAATATGGCAATTATATAGCTACTTAAGCAATTATTTGAATAAATGAATATATAAACGATGTAATTATAATGTTTCCTCATCGGGATGATTGAAGTTTCCTAAATTATTTCCTGATATATTATTTGGATTATTATTTTGCCATGTAATCCCCGCGATTGGTGTTGTTGTCGTCAGAGCCAGGATCAAGGTTATCTGGCGATAGCCGGGCCTTATCGCTCCAGCCCCCCATACCATTCAATGGCACTACAATGTCCGATCTCCGCTGAACTGTCGCCCGACTTTATCAGGGTCCCCAACCCAAGAGATAGTTGTCATCGTCGTCGTCGTCGTCGTCGTCGTTGTTTGCGTTGTCTCTTGCCAGTTGGCTCCTCACTCAGTAGCTCATCTTCCAGCGTTGCGTACAAATCGAAAATGTGGTGGAGCCGTAAGTTAGCCTCGAGATGTCTCCGCCTCCATAGGGCCAAGAGCACCAAATCCCCAGCATCGACTGGAGCAGGGGGAGGCCTGGAACCGGAGCAGACTCTGGGCATTATTGGTGTGCCCTTTGCCAAAGGTCAGGGCAAACAGGGTGTGGAACTGGCTCCGGACCTCCTTCGGCAAAGTAGCCTCCGGCAGGTACTACAGAGTAGTCATGGTGAGTTTTCTGGAATTCTAGAATCACTGGTTCCCATTGAAAAACAACGTCAAAATCTTTACTTTAAAAGTTTAATTATTTTCTTTATTAATTTTTCAAAGATGGCCTGGTTATACGAGACTATGGAAACCTGCAGTACTCCGTGGACGAGTCGTTGCTGCAACAACAGCGTGTCCACTATCACCACATCCGGAACTATGCCGACTTCATGGCCTGCAATCGGGCGCTGATCGAACAGGTGAAACAGATGCTCAAGGAGAACTCCCAGTTCCTGGCCATTGGCGGTGATCATGCCATCGGTTTTGGTGAGTCTACCTACCTTGGACATGGAGAAATGGATTAAATTATATAATGATTTGTTTTGGGGGATAATAATGCAGGTTCGGTGGCTGGACATTTGCAGCATACGCCGGATTTATCGCTGGTGTGGATCGATGCACATGCGGACATCAATCTGCATAGCACCTCGCAGTCGGGCAACATCCATGGCATGCCCGTGTCCTTTCTATTGGAGCAGCTGCGCACCACATGGCAGCATGCCGGCCTCCAGGACATAGCTCCCAACTGGTGAGTGTCGCACTGATTACGTTTATAAGCTTGCAAAGTGATAGAAATACTTGTAATAAAACTTAAAAAAATTTTCAAAATTTTTTGGAAAATATTTAAAAAACATTGTTTTTGAAAAGCAAGCCTATAAACGTAACAGATTGTGTCTCTTGTGAAATTGATTTCTTTATTATTTTTAGCGTCAAATCGCTTATATAGCTACACAAATTCGACTTATCTATCTAACTTCGAGGGGGGGGTTTCATTATTTTTATAAAACATACACTATTATAGTATTTTTATTTTCATGTATTTTTGGAATATTGGGTTGCTGGGTGGGGTTATTGGCGGGGATTTTTCGCCTTATCACAGTTGCCTTAAAAAACTAAGAGACTTTTTCGTAATTATTTTTTTTTTTTGATTATGTTTTTCATTCATTTTCGATTCTTTTGATTTCCTATTTATTTTGTTATTTTTTTCAAATATTTTTCAGTCTTTAGTTTAGTTGCTATCAACCTTAAAATCTGCTAATTTATAGCATTATTTTTTTTTACATTGCTTTTGTTTTGCTTTCGGCAGTCCATTTGTTATTTAATTTTTTATATAAATCTATTTTTTTTTCATAAGCTTGGCTTAATCAAAATCTAAAACGAATGATTTTACAAAAAAAAAAAATGGAAAAATATTTAAATCAGCGATCAGAAAAACCCAAGGTGCGCGAAAATCAAACCATAATTCGAGTTCTAACCGACTTCTAGTTAGTATAGCGCTCTATTCTAGGCACAACCAACATTAATTATTAATTAATTATATATATATATATATATGTAAATATTAAAAATTATATATCTTCAAGGGAAGTGGATGGTGCTATTTGGTTTTTATTTTTTTTTTAAATGGTGATTTCTACGCATTTTGAAAAATTATTCGAAAAATAGAAACTGAAATTCAAATGTTTTCAAAACTAAACTTCTCCTGACTTTTTTGGAATATTTTTCAACCTTGAACTGAAAAAAGATTTATGTACAAACACACTGAAAAAAATACGTGTGGCACACAACGGACAAAATGACGGAAACGGAAAGAAATTATATGGTATATATATTTTTTTTTCGATATATACATTGTACATCACAGAATCAGACAATGACATTTGAGAACTGAAGAAATATTTCGAATTTATGTAATACTGCCTGCCGTTTCTTAGTTAGTCTTCAAGGTCACAGGGTGAATGGGGGTTTTGGTGGGTGGTTGGGCGGTTGGGTGTTAGTGCATTGCATTGATCATTAAACCAAAAAAAAAAATTCGACTAAAAACTAGAAAAAGCATTTCGTTGGAATTAAAAATTATCACTGTGACTCACTAAGGTTAATTCTGTTTTTGATTTTCTGAAATTACAATACATAATGCAAAAGTTTTTCTGTCAGTGTGTCTGCGTATGTGTATGTGTGTGTGTTTCTGTATTTGTTTGTGTATGTACAAGATTATGTATACAAAATATATATATATATGGAATGGAAAAGGGATTAGGGATTTTTGGGATAATTTTTGGACATTTGTGGTTTATGCATTAAATAATTACAATCAATATTAAAGATTAAAGTATCAATGAATCAATATAATTACACAATCATTATCGGTTTAATCAAGTAATCAATTAACTAATCGAATCGAAATTCAACTTGAAGAAATGTGTTTTTGAAATATATATGTGTCTCATTTCGGTTTTTTCTTTTTGGTTTTTTTTTTTTTGCATAAATTCAATTATAAAATCGAACGAACATTAAGAACACACGCCTGAAAATAAATCAAGAGAAAGAAACAAATTAGAAAATGCTTTATAAATTATTATATACTTTTTTTTTTGGCTGCAGGATGTGAAGTTTACAGCGTTTTTTTGCTACAAATATATATATAATAAGAGAAAGAAAACCATTTGGAGAAATCATCAGTTTTGGCTGATAAAATATATGTTTATTTTTGGGAAATATAAAAATATATATGTGTGTGCCAAAAAATTGTACAGAGCAGGATCCTGCTCCAGCTCCCTCTCTCTCTCTCTCTCTCTCTGTCTTTATTTTTTGTCAATCAGGATCGATAGATCTATAGATCGGCGTTATCAGCATTATCTTCTCCGATTTACTTACCCAAAAAATCACACGAAACAATAAAAGTGAGTGAGAGGTACAACAATACAACAACGACAACGGAGATAACAACTGAAACTCAAAAAATATTCCGAGAGACAAAACCAAAATTCAGCTACAAACACGATGGATCGATGGAATATATAATAAATATATATATATATATATATATATAGGCGGCCGCAGACATTAGTGGGGTGTTGGGAAAAGGGAAGGAATGGAAGGGCAATTTTTTTAAGAAAGGAAAGTTTCAAAAAACTGAAATTTTTTGAAAAAAAAAAAACAATTAGAAAATCGGATCGGATTCTCATCACACACCGGTATCAGATCAAAACATCCTTATCGGGCACTTCTTGGGTGCGTTCCTTTACACTGGGACCAAAGAAGCAGTATGTTCAAAAGTACACTGAGCGAAATCATAAGAGCAAACAAAGTTCATACTCCATTCCAAAGAAGGGAGACAGTGGGCGGGTCACACAACAAAACTGAAAATAAATTTTCTTCTTCTTTTCGATTCTTTTGGATCATATATAGAGAGAGAGTCAGTGTCTGTGTTATTTGGTGTGTTAGTGTGTGAAATACACTGTAGAAAACAAATGATAAACGAAACGAAAAAGAAAAAATCAAGTTCAACGTAGAGCAAAAATCAGTCTAAGAGATGGAAAAAAAATGGCGTCAGTAGAAACAAGCTATAAATTGTTGAAATCAATTGGAAAACTCATCAGTATAGTATCTCAAAACTAGAAATCAGAAATTAGAGTGTTAACTGAAACAGAAACTGAGAGAGAAATCGAGAAAATGGCGAAAACCCAAGCGGAAACAGAAATCCAACTCAACCTGAAACGGAAACGGAAATGGTAATCGAAATCGAAATCGAAACAGTAACGGAAACTGAAACGGAAGCGTTGAAACAAAAGGTTTGGTGTCATCTGATATATACTATATAGAGAGATATACATACAATATATGCAAAAAGCAAGAAAAACTCATAATTATATATTTTTAAATACATTTATAATATTAATATCTTTTTTTTTTGGTTGTTGTTGTTTCATTTGCTGGTATCCTATTTTTTTTTTTTAGTTTTTTTGGTTTTGTATTGTTTCCATTTTGAAATATCATTTGAAATGTGTGATAAATATTATTAATTAATTAATTAATCGATATAAATATGTTAATAAAATAAATTAAATAGTTGTCGCCTTCCAACTCGTCATCATCATCATCATCGTTATCATTTTAATCATAATAATAATATATATATATATAGAAATGTATATATATTTTGTTGTTTTTTGGTTTGTGTGTTGCTTTTTTTTTTTTTTGTTATTTTATGATTATTAACGGTATCATTGTGTAATCGTTATCGCTACTCTAAAGCATCCAATCTTTCCTGATCTCGCTCCTCTCTGCCCATCATCGATGAATAAAATGATAGAAAAATTAGATTTGGTATAAATATTACACAAAAAATTACAAGATACTGGGTAAAAATCATACACCATAATCTCACCGCTAAAACTAAATAAGATTCTGAGATTCTATAACCATTAAACATAATGGGTTTTATTTTTGGTTTTTTTTTTTTAAGTTTGTTTCTTTGTTGTTTTTTATGCACAAATTAAAAGATTTTTTTTGCAACTGGCAGATTATCCAAAAAACCGAGCAACAAAAACGGAAATGAATCAGATCTAACCCGGAATGTAATTGGGGTTCTATATTATAATATTTTAGTGTTTAATAATATAATTAATAGTTCGAAAACTGTGAACCATATTTCTTGGGAATGTCTTTCATTTTCAGTTTCATTTCTGAGATCATTTGTTTTCCGATGGCATCTCCTTAAAGATATAGATTGGCCTTGACTAGATCGTTTCCTATAACTTTCGAGTGTCCGTCTGGGGGGATTTTTTTTTTTCAGTGTAAAAAATATGGTTAGAGAGAGAGAGAGAGAGCAAAAGATAGAGGGGGGGAAAATATAAATCAGGCTGGAAAAATCATACAATATAAAAATCAATATATAAAACCAAAAGTTGTACAACAAAAAAGTTAACAAATAAATCAAAAAATGATGCTAAACAAATTTTCATCAAGTGTTTGTTTTTATTGAAAGTAAATTTTTTCTTCATTTTTTTTTTTAAATATTTTTTTTTTTGTTGGTTGTTTGGTGCGGAAATTAAGTGAAATCATAAGAGTAAACATAAATGGATCGTAATTGTCAATAATTCGATCAGGAAACCAAAATATACACAAAATCAAATAAAGAAAATAAACCATACCATACAAAATCATAATAATAATAATAATAATAATAATAATGAACATAATCATAATCATTCGATTCTAATCTCACAGGATTTTTTCGAGTACACACAGATCGTATATCGTATATATCTAGATATATCAACTAAAACATAGATTTCGGTTTGTTTCATGTTGTTGTTGTTGTCATTGTTGTTGTTGCTGTGGTACAAATCAAATGAGTAGCTTTTCATTTTTTTTAAACAAAAAATAATAAAGTTAAAACTAAAAAATGCAGTTAAACAAAATAAAATACAAAAGTTACAAAATTAAAATTATAAGTAGAGAGTTCGAGTTTTGAGAGAAAAGGGATAAATTATTTATAATTTTTTTGTTTTTTGTGTAATTTTATTAATTTTTTTGGGGAGAGCAGATCCTGATATATAACGTCCTCTTTCTGGCTCTCTCTCTCTTTCTGATCAGGTGTAGGTGTTGTTGTTGTTGTTTTTGTTGTATAATTAGGCTAATTCTTCATCATAATCATCGTCTCGTAATTTCTTTCGCTTTGCTCAAAATCAAAGGAATATTGAATTCAAATTGAATTAAATTAAATTACGTAATTATAAAGTACAATAAATAATGTTCTGTTTCCGTTTGTTTTCTTGGTTCTTTGCTTACTTAAATATGATAAAGAAAAAATGATGAGATATAAATATATAATAAATATATATATATAATTATATATATATACGATGTATATAATATGCACGCATCAGTACATATCAAATTCGCTTAAATTGTAAATTACACGACAAAAAAATAATTGTATATTTTTATAAATTTTGTTTTCTTGTTGTAGTACTAGTTGTTGTTGTTATTTCGGTTCGTTAATAGAATAGTTAGGGGCTTTAAGAGTTTACATAATTCATAAAATTTGAATTTTTTTTGTTTTTTTTTAAATATTTGAGATGCTAGAAAATTGTTGCTGTTTTTGTCGTTTTTGCCATTAGTTGCATTTTAAAACTATTGCACAAGAATTAGAATTACTACAATTAATTAGATCATTGATGACAAAAAATATAAGCATAATTATATAATTATATATAAATGTATTTATAAAGGATTAATTAAATTATATATTGAATATATTTGTGTATGTGTGTGTGTGTGTTAAGGTGTGTGTGATGACAGAAATACAAATTAAATAAAATCAAGTACATAATTCTTTTTTTTTGTGTATTATTTTAAATATATGTATAAATAAACTAGCAGATTGTTCATAATTCTTCTGAAAGAAAGTCGATCGCTTTCTTCTCAGCCGACTGGGGAGGCTAATCTTTGGAAAGGGGGGGGAGAGCAGGCCGTTTTTCTTTTAGTGTATTTTTCATTCATTTTGCTATGCTTATCGGGTAGCTACTAGAAATTGCCATAGTTTTTTCTTTTGGTTTCATCTACTATATATTCTCTTCTCTTCTCTATATATATCCTTCTTCTCGTCCTCTGGTTCTTCAACTTATCTTCTGACTAGATTTCTTGTTGCAAATTTTGTTCAAACACAAAAAAAAAATTGATTTCTTTTGTTCATCTATAATTATACAATAAAAAAAAAAAAAATAGTAATGTGGATTACAATTAAGTGGGTATATATACCATAAATAGAGTATATATACCCGATTACACATAGATCTAAGTATCGTAATAATAATAATCATAATTAAATCAATTTCTACGTGGGGGGCTCCTTGCTTCTAAGGACTCTGACTCTGATTCTCGGTTTTCTGTTCAATTGTTAAGGTTTTGGTTTTCAGGTTTGAGATAATTTCGCTATTTTTTTTTGTTTTCTTGGAAAATAAACTCAAAATAATGTATAATAATATATAATATAGATAGATATAAGAACACAAATCGTTTCGTATAAATATGCATGGTCGGGTCATGAATTTTTTGTTGTAGTTTTTTTTTTCTTTTGGTTTTTTTTTGGATGCAGGAGCCTCTATCAAATTCAATTCGTACACAAAGCAAACAAAGAAATCAAACTTAAACTCAAATTCAAATACAAAATCCAGAATCGAAATTATATAGTTATATAGAATATATATGTTTTTTTGTAGGTATAGTGTATTGTCTCACTCTCTTCTATACAAAAAAAAAAAAGAAATACGAAAGAAAAAAGAAGCAAACGAAAAGTCGATTTATACCAAAAGTTCAACTAATAAATCAACGCAAAAAAAAATTGCACAAAAGTTCTTGGATATTATATTATATATATATATATATGGGGGATTTGGATTATATATGGGATGTGCTTGGAGTTATCCTTTACTATATCCTTTCCTTTCCTTCAACTTACTTGGCTAAAGAAAACGCTTTGCTAATGATTTACACCTTTTTTTCATTAATTTTTACTTTTTGTTTCAAACGGTTTGTAAAAAAATTGTGTTGCTCTTTCTGTTAATTTTTTCTTTTGTTTTTAGTTTTTTGTGCTACGCTTTGTTTAAACACTAAAATGTTGGTTTTTTTTTTTTTTTTTGCTCCTTGAACTATACATTATATAAAGTATATAAAGAAAGCCTGTCTGTGCCTGTATTCAAGGATAATACTATATATATATATTATATCCACCTATATACACACGCACAAGTATTACAGTATTTTTAAATATTCACTAACAATTATTTACTTTAGTAAAACGTTTCAAATTTGCGCATAAATTATTGTATTACTTTTGCCCTCTGTCCTTCTCGATCTGCTTCTTTCTCTCTATATATTTTTACAGTTAAAACTGCTCTTTCCTACTCCCTTGTGTTTAAAGGACACCAGTTCGGCCCATTGTACACATTTCGGGCTATCATCGTTTCTCTAAGTGTAGGGGGTGAAAAAAAAAACAAACACAAAACATTTAAAAAAAAAACACTTAAATATTCATTAAATTTCTATATATAAATGTATATCTAGATAGATACATATCGATCTATATATATATATCTTGTTTTTTTTTTAGAAATATTAAACTTGCTGTTTGTTTTTTTTTTTTTTGTAAGTTTTTAATACTGTAGCAGCCTCCATGTTATGTATATTTTATTATAATTGCGATCTCGATCGCCCTTCGAATACTTTTTTTCTGCCCAGCCCTGGGATCCAACAAAAGCCGAACTGAGGTCCTGTAAGCACTATATCCTGCTAGGTATATCCTAGAAACTGAACATCATGCCATTTTTCTTCAAATCTTAATTCTGTTTTTTTTTCTTGTAGTTTTTAGTTTTTGTATCAAGATTTAAGATTTTTTTTGTTTTTATGGTAGAAAAGTTTTTTTTTTGGAGTGTAACTAACAGAGTTTCTTGTTTTTGTTTTGGTTTTTGGAAGATTTCATTGCTGCGTTTTACTTAAATTTAATAAATTTTTAAAATTTCTCTTGTTTTTTGTTTTTTTGCTAGTAATATTTTGTTAAATTTCTTTAAGTGTGTTTTTTTTTTGTGTGTATGGTTGATTTCTTTGTTTTGCTTTGCGACTAACCTGATTGCGAGTGCAACCTTTGACCTTTTTTCGCTTTAGCTGCCAAAGTTTAGAGGCAATTTCCTTATAATCTCACTTGTCTGCCTATCCTTCTCTAACTCTCTCTCTCTCTCGCTATCTCTCTCTGGTAATCTTTCACAAATCGCTAATCTCTTTTCTAATACAGCTCCTTGTTTTAATTTTTTAGTTAATGATTTGTTACTTAAATGCTAAACAAGAAGAATTTTTCTATTGCAACGTTTTTGGCCGGCGGTTCTTTGGAAGGGGAAAGGGGGAGGTGGGGGGAAAGGGGGAGGTGGATGGGAGGTTCATTCAATGTGGGAGGTGGGGAGTTGGGGTGGTAGAGGATGATGCCGTTGTTCGTTGTTTCGACACGTGAGAGAGAGTACTACTCCGCCTCCTGCCTGGCCAGGACTTTCTTTTCTTTCAAGTCCTTTGTTTTTTTTTGTTTTTGTTTTTTTTTTTTTTTTTTTGAGTGTTTTACACATACTGTTTTGTTGCGCTTAGTTACCGTTATACCATGCATATTTATATATGTGTGTGTGTGTGTGTGGGAGAGTGTTAAGATGTGTGTGTGTGTGATTTCAGGGTCAATGGCTGCTCCTCCTTGTGTGTTTTTTGTTTTTTTTTTTTTTTTACTTGGGCTTGTTGGTCTTGAAGCTGACCTGCAGCACCCGATTTCCCATAGTGTAACCATTGAGGGCCCTGATCGCCATCGCCGCCTCATCGTAGTTCGTCATCGACACAAAGCCGTAGCCCTTGCACTGATTCGTGGTCGGATCCTTGACGATCTTCACCGATTGCACAGCCCCGAATGGACCGAATAGCTGCCACAGGGCTGCCTCTTCCGTTTCCGGTGCCAGATTATAAATAAAAATGGGATATGCTCCGCCAGGACCGCTGGCCAGCGTTGTGGCTGCCGCCGCCGCAGCACCCAGACCATTGGGCAGCATCACATCGAGCATGTCACCGGCCATGGGCGAGAATCGGGCCAGTCCCTTGTTCACCGGCGTGTGCATCGCTCCGCCAATACGTCGCACCAGCTGGGGATTGAGGAAGGCCGGCAGTTGCGGCTGGATGATCTTGCTGGTGCTGCCGGGCGTGTTCGAGAACTTGACCACAATCGGATCCGTGCAGCTGGAGGGTGTGGTGCCGTTCAGGGCGATGATGGCCCGGGTGGCCTCTTCCCGCTTATCGAATCGAATGAATCCCACGCCCTTGGTCTGTGTATCGTTGCCGGCATTCTGCAGGATGCGCGATGTAATGATGGCACCGAACGGAGCAAAGATCGCCTCCAGTTCCTGCTGGGTCATCGTCTTGGGCAGTCCGGAAACATACAGATTGGCGCCCTTGATGGCGTCCGACGAGGGACGGGCGAACGACACCTTGATCGTCTTGTTCTGGAGCCGAAGGCCGTTGAGGACGTTCACCGCCTGCTCGGCATCCTGGGGGCGTACATAGTTTACAAAGCCATAGCCCAAAGACTGACCCTTGCTGGGCGCCTGGGGATTCAGGGGGTCAATGTAGACCTGCGACTTGTCCCGTATCAGTTTCACAGACTCTATCTCGCCCACGCTGGAGAACAGTGACCGGATCTCGTCCTCGGTCATCGTCTGCGGCAAGTAGTTCACAATCAGATTTGTGCGCGTCTCGGAGCTGCCGTTGCTGCCATTCTGGGTGGCTCCACCGCTACCGTTGGTGTTCGCCTGTGGCTGTTGTTGCACCACCGCCTGCTGCACTGCGGCCGGCTGGGGTACAACGGCCTGCTGCTGCTGTTGCTGTTGCTGCTGTTGTTGTTGTTGGACTACCGTTTGCTGGGCGGCGGCTGCCTGCTGTTGTTGTTGCAGTTGCTGTGTCACGGCTGCGGCTGCTGCGGCCACGGCCTGTTGTGTCTGCTGTTGTTGCACCTGCAGTATGGCCTGCTGCACCTGCTGCTGCTGTTGGAGTTGAGCGGCCGCGGCCACGGCAGCGGCGTTCTGTACTGGTGCGGCTGCCGCATTTGTGGCTGCCACTGCCGCAGCGGCTGCGGCGTTTTGCATCAGCTGGGCCTGTGTATCGACTCCGCCGTTGGCTCCGTTATTTGCCATCATAAAGTCCACTTTGGGATTTGGGATGAGAGTGTGGTTGGAGGTCGTTTTTGAGTTTGGAGGACCAACGCAGGGGGAGGCGCATGGAAAGAATAGTTAAATGTCAAGATTAAACCATTTGCATGATGTGTTAGTAAGTTATTAAAGGTAAATGGGTTAGTTCTTAAGATTAAAATATGGGTTTATAGGGTTAGGATGAAGACTAAATGAGTTCTAACTCTCTGGGTTCTGGTTAAGTCTGAGATATGGTAGAAATTATACAGTTCTCTAGATAATCTACGAATATAGAGTTTAGATTCCACTCAAAGGACTACTGGCTCTCTTTTAGCCCCTAAAAGGTATTTTTTCTCAACGGAATGTATTAGTTCTCTTTTAGGGTTTATATTCCCGGAAGACTGTTACTGTTAGACAGGATTTGTGGCTCTCTTTTTTGGGTTAGTGGCTGATTAACGGTTAATGGTTAACGGTTAACGGTTAGTTCAAGGAGCTTTGCTCACTGGCGCCGCCCAGCGGCCCACTTACTTTTCTCTCGCTCTCTTTATCTCTCTCTCCGCCCTGACTTTCTCTCTCTCCCACTATATATTTTCTTCCTTCTCTCCACCACCCACTCGGCAATCAAAGCTCTTAGACGAACTCACACACACACACAAACACACTCACAAACTATCGCACTCACAGACACTACTCACAGAACTTCCACTGGATTTGTTTTTTTTTTTGGCTTTTAGCTTAATTTTTTTTTGGCTTTGACTTTAATCTGCCGTTAATTTATGTTCTTTTTTTTTCGATTTTATTTTAAAATTTTTATTTAAATAACTTTTTGGCTATCGGTATCGTATTCAAAATTGGCAATAGAGCGGCGAGACAGATCCGCTACGTTCCAGGCACACGATGCTTCTGAGCGCAGGACATTCTGGCCCAGGCTCGCGTGCTCTCGCTCTCCAGCCGGTTGGTCGGTCAACCCCCACCCACCTCTTCACCCTTCAAACTGTTACAGCTCTCCTTCCTGTATGTGTGTTAGTGTTAGTGCCATACCCCGCCCAGTTATGTAACACAGCAGCAGCAGCTAAAACAGCAGGAGACTGCCGGTTAGGGGGCGGGGAAGGATACAGGCTTGCACCCCTTAGAAAAACACCGAAAATTGCTGAAAGCAAAAATGAGCAACCGTCGGCGGTGGCGGCGACGGCGACGGCGGCGACAAAAACCCACCCTTAGCGCCCAAAACAAGTTGTAATATTTCCTTTTTGGCGAAACATCCTCCTAGCCGTCTATGTACAAGCTTGGCACTGCTTAAGGGTTAAACGCCAGGCGTTGCCACCCCCCTGAGCCCGGCTTTACAAGAGAGAGCTCTCTCTTGGGCTTTCGCTCTCCCTCTCTTGGCTGTCTGGCAGAGGCTGCGGCAGTGGGATGTTGCAATCCTCTCGGTTCAATGAACTACGATCGCCCAAAAGGATACTAGACATAGGGGTTTTTAATGTTTGTTTTAAATTTAAAAAAAAAGGATCTTTTAGGGAGAATTAAAGGAGAAATATTATAAAGCAGAATCCTTAGAATTAGAATCCTTTCTCAGTAGTTATCCTCAGTATCTCAACTTTATTTGAAGTTGTATCTTTAAGTTATTTCTTCTGGCTACACTCTCTTAGCAATATTGAAGTCTACTCTCGGCCAAGCTCTACTGTAATTGCCAATTCGCACATTCGGATTCAGCTTCTCGTCAGCGTCTGGCCGACACAGAAAGAGTCAAAAGGTCAAACGCACATACATCATCTATGTACACACCACCTCCCATGTCTCCCCACCCACATTATACAGTTGTCTCGCTCTCTCGCTCAACTATCACCATGACAGCCGCCAAACACCGTAATCGCCCATCCCCCCACCCTTTTGTCAGGTCCTTTTTCCCAGTTACCGTTATTTGTCTTGTAATAACTAAAATATACTCACTTGTTTTAATTTTAGTTTAGTTGCTGATTTCTCGACGGGGGGGGAGAAGGGTGTTGTTGTTATGTTGAATTAATTGCTACGATTTCTCTATATATATATATCGCTCGCTCTCTCTCTCTCTCTCTCTTGCTCCCGGTATATCCTTTGAATCCTTGTATGTGCGCGCGCTCTCACGGCGCTGCCTCCTCACTCTCGCTCTCGCTCTTTCAGACTTTTCGCTGGTCCAGGGACTCTTCCTTTCGTTTTTTATAGCTGCTGCGGCTGTTGTTGTTGTTGTTCTTGTCGTTTGTTGTAATTTAAACGCTAAACAAAAATAAAAAAAAAATAAAACAAAACAAAAAGAAGCGGTAAATTTTGGTGTTTTCTTTGTTGTTGTTGTGTTTGTTGCCTGTTTTGTGTTACAGTTCTTTATGGGAAATCGATTATATCGATTTTTTTTTTGTTGCCCTCCTAGCACTACCATCCCCACCACCACCCCAATCGCCCATCAATCTCGGCAATTTATTGTATTTCCATACATATCACTGGCATAAAAAAAAAAATAAAATAAAATAAACGGAATGCTAAAAAATATACACATATTATATCAAAAAGCAATTTGTTGTTATACAATTCTATTGTGTGAGTGTCTATTTTTGTGATGCTCATTATAACAGTATCTCGCTCTCTTGCGTTCCCTGCACTGGGGATACATCAGACAGATGAGGGGGAGGACGAGGCGGAGGTTGTAGAGGTGAGCTTTGAGGGAGGTGGTGGGGGGGGACTCGCACACTCCTTTCTAAATACAATGTATGGCTGCCCTGGGCTATTGTTTTTGTAAGCGTGTTACCTATGTATTTGGATATTTGTGTTTTTTTTTTTTTTTTTTTGTTGAAAAACGAAACAAACACACACAGACACACATGAGTGAGAGAACACGCTCTCACAGATACAAACGTTTAGTATCTATAAGTTCGTTTTTTTTTTTGTTTTTATTGTTGGAACTAAACACGCGCTGCTCTTCTTTAATTTTTTCGAAAAATGTTTTTGATCTACACGGCCAGTGTCCGCCACAAATACATATATATACATATATATATTTGTTCTTGGATCTGGCCTAATTTTTTATTTCCGCGCGCTTTACAAACTCCCCTTTAACTATACTAATACTACATTGTATGGGGGAGGGGTGGGGGGTTTTTTTTTTTTTCTTCTTTTTATGGCAACCGGCGTTTTGTTTACTGCAAAAATCCGCCCCCTCCATAGCGCTTGCTCTCTTTTCTTCTCTTCTCTTCTCTCTTTGGGTTGCGGCACTCCTCTGGCCAGCTAGAGAGACCACCCACCACCCACCCGCCAAAATATCTACTTCTAACGGTTATAGTTGTTGTTGTTGTTGTTTAGTTTTGCGTACAATGCTCCTTGCACATAAAATCGATATGCTAGCTAGCTGCGCCCTTTTTGCGCCGCTATAGTAGCTCCCTCTCTCATATACAGAGGCACATGGAGGAGAAGGAGAGCCAGAGCGCTTACAGATACACAGCGCAGAGAATAGAGGCAGAGGCCAGAGGTATATATCAGCAGCGGCAGTGGCAACAGCAACGGCGTCGTCGTCCGATAGATTTTAGACACTACTACTATTTCCAGCCACTCCCACCGCCCCACCAACCCTACACTGTCATTTAGCAATTATTTTTTTGTTAGTTAGCTTAGTTAGTCTTTCTTCCTCTCTGTGGGTTTCGCTAAACTCTCTTTTTCTTCTCTTAGCCGAATTGCATATTGTTTTTGTTTTTAGTTTTTTTTGTTGTTGTTGTTTCCTATTAATATTTCCAACACACACACTCACACACACACATACACAAACTAGAAAATAGAAAAAAAAATAGATATAGTTTGTAAAATAATTGCACAATTATGCAGCGCGACGCGATCATTTGGCAAAAATGTTGCAATTGTTATTGTTTTCTTGTTGTTGTTGTTGTTGCTTTTATTGTTTTGATGTCACAATTGTATACATATGTATGTATTTCCGGATATCCGAGATTCTTGGTATTCTTACGTTTCGTTTGTATTGCTGCTGCGAGATGAGCTTGGTTTTCGTGTTTTTTTTTTGTTAGTGGGGCTTTTATTTAATTTTTTTTTATATTTTTTTTTAGTCGTTTTAACTGTTATTGTTTTGCACTACTTTCGAAAAAAAAAAATCAATTGCAGAAAGAGCACACGGAGCACGAGATTTTCAGTGGCAACGCACACGGAGCGTAGCGTTCAAAAGAAAGTTCAAAAACGAATGCGAACAATTTCTGGTGGCACGGATGTTTTGTTGGGTTTTTTCGGTGGACTGTTGGTGGCGGTGGCGGCGGCGGCACATGCTCTCTTCCGCTCTCTCGTTGTAATCGGAGAGAGCAGTTTCATGGGTGTAGGATGGCTTGGTCAATGGGGTAAAGAAAGTAGTAGAGAAATGGTACACTAGTTTACATTTCTAAATGGAAATTTTTTCTTTAAAAAAATATTTAAAAATTTTCACCAGTGTTTTTCTTTTCTATAATTAGTTTTTTAACTTTTACCACCATTATATATTGACTTACATTTAAGCGTAATGATGCAATTCCCCTTTCACCTTAACAGGACGCCTCTGTCTCTGCCCCTGCGCTCACAGTTGTGCGTCGCGTTTACATAGTTCCATCATTTTTTTTGCAACGGATGCCGTTGATCACTCACAACTCTTTGTTGCATCCACCGAGTAGGCAATGTTATCAATTGGAGCCTTGTTTAAGCCGGATTCGTTCTAGAGTTAAGTGATTAGTTAGTAATATTTTATTGGACAATGTAAGCGCAGTTTAGAATTGAAGCCAAAATGGCCGACGACTGCCGCTATGGCTTATTTGTTGTGATCGGTATATGGTTTGAAACCGTGCTTATCCCGATTCGTAAATGTGTTACCGGTTCGCTCTCTTTACCTGAGAGCGCATTGGCTGAGAGAGCAACCATTCAAAATTCTTATTGTTAAATTACTAATTTTAAGTTTTATAATAATACTAAATAAACAATAAATAAATAAATTGATAGTTTTATAAAGTTTCATTTGAAAATGAAAGACCTAGAGGTGCCCTTTCCGCAGCGATCGCCTATCGCCTATCGAAGCACCTATCGATCGTTACAAATAGAGGGAAATCCATTTTTTTGAAATTAGTTGCGCTATTGGAAATCATGACTCTGACCATTTGCCAGGAAAAAAAAGGAGGTCGTCAACCGTTTTATGATGCACGCGACCATTATCCTTGCCAAATATCTGAGTTCTAAGGGCTGTTCTGGTTTTATGTCCTTCTTTATTATTATTATTCGTAAAATTTGTGTTCTTTTTCTTTCTTGGATTTTGTATTTTTGCACTAGCAACCACCAACGCTCGACGGTTGGGGTGGTTTCCGTGCAGCATGCTACACCACCACCACCACCACCACCACCCTCTATCCACTTCCCGAAACCCAAAAGGACCCATTTCCAAGAGGCGTTTCAATTTCTTTTTTTTTTTCTTCGTTATTTTTTGCTTTCCATGTTGCGTGTTGCGTGCGTGTGCTTAATTGCGCTTGTATTCGGCACTCGACATTCTATAGGGTATATAACATATATACATATATATCGGAGCCACCCTCCAACACCCCCAGCCCTTGTAACTTCCTGTTCCATGTGCTGATTTTTACCCTGTGTGTTCCCAAAGTCTGTGGCAAGGGTCTGTTCCAATTTACAAAACAGTTGTACACTTTTAAAAATTTAAAGGACTATTCTAAATTATAATATATATTCAAATTGATAAAATAATGTTGAGTTTTAATAGAAAAAATATTTTAAGTTGTAATAATATTTTTTTCTGTGCAAAATACTTGCAAAATAAAGTCCAACGAAATTGTAACGCAACTTTTGGCCCTGGGGGTTGTTTTTGCCGGCAACTGTGCCCGGCAGGGTGGTGTGGTCTCCTCGGCAGGAGGAGGTGGTAGTGGTGGTGGTGGTGCCTTAGCCAGTGGTATACTGTCCATGCCGGATATGCGGATTCAGACAGATCGGCGTCGTCGCAAGTGTCTGGTTTTGCATAAAAAAATATACATATATATATGTTATATATTCTAAAATATATATATATATATATAAATATATATAAATATATATATATATATATATATATTTTGTGTAAATAATAGATTTCAAACAAAGGACCAAAAGTCCTTGCTGTGGCTGGCATGTAAAATGCAAATGCGAAAGGTGGTTTTTAAATTAAAGGATTTGCATAATTATTTTTAAAGCTCAAGGATATTTTCTGTTTTTTAGAAAATGAAACTAAAAATTAGATTAGGATCCAAGTCACGTGCCTCTTTCCCTCTTCCCCCAACCCCAAACATAAGGCTATAGAAAGGATATAAAGAAAGGGTTCATTTTTTTAATATTTTTGAAAAATTGGAAGATGAAAACAGAAAACAATACCCATTTCGAAAGGGTTGTCTAATCCGTTTTAGCCACGGCCGAAAAGCAAAACATAACACCAACAAAACAGGATTAAAAAAGCAGGACCAACACAGGATTACAACAAATGGTGGGTCTAGAGTCTAGACTCAGGGGAGGATGTTCCTGCAACCCTTAAAAGTTACAGATCCTTTGCAAGAGAAAGTTTTACTTTCTAAACAGGACTATTGGAGTACAAGAACTGGTCATGGAAAGGATCTTGGCTAAAAGGCTATTTGAAAAGTTACAGGAAAAAGGACCGAAAGTCGAAATAGGAACCTACGATAGCATCTGTCAGGATGTATTCCTCCCCCTTGGCACACATATGTGTACATATATTTACATAAAAAGGATCCTTAGGGCGCTTTTAACTTTGCACGTCTGGCTGCACATAGCATATAGGGATACCGAATCCCGGATTCCTTCCTTCCAGCCCCGACAGATGCAGTTTAACCCCGAAACTAATGGTTAATAATCATAAAAATTACCATAAGACTCCAGGGGCAGGGCTGCGATCGATGCAGGAATAGAAAAACCAGGGATCAGGGACATAGGGAGTGTTAACTGCAGTATATATATATATCCTTTATGTATTATAGAGCACGATCGGTGTGGAATCGTGGCATGTGTTGCTGGGTTGTCCTTTTACAAAAATTCAGCATTTTTCAAGCATTGTTTGAAAAGTGCAGCCTGCTCTCATTCCCAATTCCCGAATCCTGAATCCGATTCGGTTGCAGTACATTTTTTTTTTTTTTTTTGAAAATTCGGGGTTGCAATTTAAGGGCAAGGACTTGCCACCTGGCTTATTAATCAGGATCAAGAATGGCACTACTCAGGAGGGGGAGAGCCATACACATTTTGCAGGATCAGGAAATATGTATATATATCTCCCGACCTAACTCAATCAGGAAACAGGAAGGACTTTGGCACGAAGCTTTAAAGAAACTTCATGTCCTTTTTTTTTTTGTCTTCAAAGGAAGATCATTGACCGAAGGCTTTGTGTTCGTCCTGCACTTTAAGGACTTCTCTGGTTTCGCCCCCGGGAGTTCCTTGAAGTGGAACCCACGACTATTTGTTTACACGCTGGTCTCGAATCCTGTCAGCTGTGTCCCATATAGCAGTATATATATATTAGTATACCCCCTATTTTTCCTGGTACTGATCCTTTTCTATGTTCTGCCTGTCATTTCAGTTTGCCCAAGGATCAGTTAGTCTACATCGGCCTGAGGGACATTGACCCCTACGAGGCGTTTATATTGAATAAAGTTGGAATACGCTACTTTGCCATGGATGTAAGTACACTGAGAGAAAAGATTAATTTAAAAATGGTTAAAATAAAAGGTAAAAGGTTAAGAATCTTAGAAATCTATTTTTAATATTTATTTTTTGAATTTTTTATAAAATTATCTATTTTTTAGTTTTTTCTTCAAGTGTAGAAACTAGAGTATAACAGCCGCACCTAGGTAGACAGATCGTCCTTTTTTTTTTTTTTTTGGTTCTCAGATCCTTTTCGGTTATCCTGGCAGTTGTAAAAATTGTAAAATTCCGGTTTCTGCCCTCTCCCCCCCTCCCCTCTTGTACAGGATCGTATCGAATGACGATCGTGCGTGACAGAGAGTCCTGCATCCTTGCACGAGCCTTCTGAGCGTGTGTGTGTATGTGTGTGTGTGTGTAAAGTTGTAAGCTTGGCATTTATAGGGGTTGCCTCTTGCCCCGAAGGAGCCTACAACATATATGTACATATATCCTTTTTTGCCACCCTACTCTCTCTGGCCCCTGTTACAGGGACTTCCGATCCTTGCAAACGGTGGTGACTCACACGGCTCACAAACACACACTTACACACACACACACATGTGAGTATTACGTGCCTGGCCACATCCTGCCCGGCGTGGTTCGCATCCTTGTCAGCTCATTGCCCATTATTTATGGCTCGTGCAAAATCGACGTATGTTGAAAAATGGTTCCTGCTTTTGATCCTGATCCTGCTCATGCTCCTGCTCCTGCTCCCCACCCTCCACCACTCCTCTCTCATCCTGATCCTGATTCTGATTGTGTTATCCTGGGTCGTAGGCAAAGCTGCAAAAATTTATTATAGCTCATTAGTTCGATCGGAATTGGCAATTGGAATATGCGAAAAAAAATCCAAAACCAGGGGATGGGAAACGAACATATGAGATGCACTCCTGGGGTACAGTTCCGATAGAAATCGGTTCCTAATTGAAGTTTCCAGATGAAAAATTGTAGATATAATTAATGAGATTCTTTAATGACCCGAACCTCTCTCTTTCTCCTTCTCCTCCTCTTTCAGACCATCGATCGTGTGGGAGTGCCCAAAATCATTGAGATGACTCTGGATGCCCTCAATCCGCAGAACAAGATCCACGTCAGCTTCGACATCGATGCCCTGGACAGTAATGTGGCGCCCAGCACCGGCACTGCTGTCCGGGGTGGCCTAACGCTGCGCGAAGGCATCAGCATTGTGGAAGCACTTCGGGACACCAAGCGGGTCCAGGGCGTGGACCTGGTAGAGATCAATCCGAAGCTGGGCAGCGAGCGGGATGTACGCACCACCGTAGAATCCGGCCTGGAGATCCTCAAGAGCATGTTCGGCTACCGAAGATCCGGCAATTGGAGCAACATCGACACTGGCATTCTGGGTAGCGATTAAAAACGATGGAATAACAAAAATCCAAAGCGCCTTGGAACTTATCAATATTTATGTACAATATTTCTCCAATATTTCTGTGTTTTTTTCCATTCTTTTTTTTTTTTTGTTTTTTTTTGTGATTTGAATAAAAAATTAGTTTAAAAAATAAAACAAAAATAAGCCGAGGTATTGTGCAGACTGAGATTCGCATCCGGATTATAAGCCGGACTTGAGCTTGGGTTGTGCTGTCGGCAGATACGCCGAAATGTCCACTCTCGCCATTAGGTTGGCAGTCTGGAGGAGTTCGTTAACCGGTGGCGCTGACGCTGCCGGGGCAGTAGGGATAGCCGGAGGGGCGGAAGTGTGTGGTGCCTGGGAGTTGGCCAGTCGCTGGTACAGCTGCGGAGCAAACGTACGCAAAAGACGCCGCTGGATGGCAATCAGTAGGGAGTTGATGGCTCCCGATATCACAATGATACCCGAAATGATGGAGCACAGACGGATGATGAAGGTAGCCAGGTGATCGCGATCATTGTCCACGACAATCTTCAGAGCCGACCAGTCGTACTTGAAATAAATGCCCGGCGAGCCATAGGAGTTCCTCTCGGAATCTGGGAAAAGGGAAACCAAGTCATTGAAAGTTGTAGTTTCCGCCGACGAACATAAAGACTCACCTAGTTTCCTGACGTTCTCGGTGACGGAGTACTGGAACGTATTAATTGTGCTAAACGTCTGACGTATCTCTGTGGGCACCACCTTCAGGAAGTACTGCACCGTGGTGGCCTCCTCGTTGATGATCGTCTCATCGCCCTCCAGCGGCTGTACAATCCTCCGGGAGTACTGCCCAAAGCTGAGCCTGTTGATGCGATGCGTAAAGTTGGCCGGCATGCGACGCAGTTCGATCATCCAATGATCCTCAAACAGTCCCACCACCGGCTGAGCTCCACCGACCAGGTGCAGGACACCGGCCACCTTGTTGATACCCAGAGTGCCGTGCAACCGGCAGGCATCGAACTTGGCCTCGGGATTCGCAGCAGCAGCAGCCGCTTGTTGAGACATATGGAAGTCCAGGGCCACGGGAAGAGCGCCTGGTGGCGGTGGAGCTGCTGGGAATGAAGCTGGACTCTCGCGCGGCGTATGGGTGTCCCGCATAATGTCCTTGAACAGAACATCGGCCAGCGAGTGGAATTCTTCGCGAAGGTACTGATTCTGGATCTGGATGGCCTGGAACTGCAGCCGATCGTGGTCGTTCATCTCCCACCAGACGCCCTCGCGTTGCAGGGTCCCGTAGGCGAACACATCCTGTTGCGTCTCGTCCATTAGATCCACGCCGGAGAGCGAGGCACAGGGCATGGCCACCGTGATGTCCACATGCATTTGCACCTGATCATCCAGCGACATGTCCGGCTCGAACTGATAAACAATGTCCGTTTCGTGCCAGTAATAGTGCAGTTCCGTGTACACCAGATAAACGATCAACAATCGGCTCAGCAGGGAGACTGCAATTAAAAGTGATTAGTAGAGTAAACACCCATTATTTGGGGCAGGGAAACGCTTACGTGTTCCTCCGATTTCTGTGGTCTCTGTATACTTTTCCGGGACCTTTTTGAAGGCATCCAGGTTCTTGGCGAACTCCAGGAGCTGGCTCTTATCACCACGATACCTCAAGGTGGCCGACATCTTGGACGAATCGTATCAGGTGGCTCAATCAATTGGATGCAGCACCGGCTTCGGTCAGCGGTTTCATTGCCACGTACTCCGCAGCTCTCCAGGCACAATGACGCCGTCTGTCAACGGCGGACTGTGTGCTTTTGGGCGATGAAGGTGTTTCTGGAATGTGGTTAGTTGGTTTTTGGCACTGTCTTATCCTTTTTTCTCAGAAATTGGATATTTTTCTAATCATAAACAAATCAGAAGCTCCTCTTAATATTTACAGCAGTCTGGCAGCTCTATTGGATTCCATTTAACGATATGGTAGCTCCATAAAGTCCAATTAGTACAATAGGGACTAATTTTAAAAATTAGTTTTAATTTTATAAATTGGTTAAAAGTTTAGTTAGTTTAGCTTTTAAATTTTGAACAAGGTCGGTTTTGGCTATATATCTTCCAACAATTTTAGGTACATTTTAAAACTGTACCTTTCTGATATCTGGCAACGCCGTTAGTGTAACCGTACTCTCCGGATTTCTCCAGCTTCGCGCCACTCTCACACCTGGCTCATTAGAGAAATCGCTTCCTAACGGTTCGAAGCTTTAACCGACTTCTCCGGATCGAAAGCTATAATTTGCGCCCCGCCGTAGAGACAACGACACTTGAACGCACGAGCACCAGCATCGCTTAGCATCCAAACGGGTTTAGGTAATTAGCGTATATATCATTTGATTCCGACTGACCGATTTACGATCGAAACTCATCATCATTGACGTTGTTTTTTTTATAGGTTTTTGTCTCTCAACCACATCGGTTTGGATCGGATGATGGCCATTAAGAACAGTCATCGTATCCTCGTCACCTGGACGGCCCTGGCCCTCCTGCTGACGCACGGCAGTCATGTTGTGGATGCCCGCCGTAACCAAGGCAACAATCAGCGGAAGACCTCCTCATCATCATCCTCCTCTGGCTCCAGCTACGGTCACGTGACCCAGCCAAGCTACAATACCAACGGTCACGCCGCTGGCAACTCGCACGCCGATGTCGCCAAGCTGAGCTATCCGAACTACAATTCCCAGCCCAACCGACCACCTAGCAGCGGCAGTGCTCCTCAGCCCGGCTGGAATGTGCCCCAGGGTCCGCCTCCAGCTTACTCCGCCTCAAATCCCGTCGGCGGAGCTCGTCCCAACATGCACGAACAGCCGCCGGCCTACCATGCTCCCAACTACGGCGCTGCTCCGCCCAGCTATGGTGCGGCCACAGGATCGAATGTCCATCAGCCGATTACCGCCACCCAGAACCATGGCACTCAGTACTCGGGTGTGCCTGCCGGAGCCACTTACTATCCAGCTGGACACGCCGGCGGTGGCTATCCTTCCAATCTGCCTGCCGGCGCCACCTACTATCCATCGGGTAGTCATGTTCCCATGGCTGGTGGCTATCATCCTGCAGCAGCTCCTCCACCGGGCGCTACCTACTACCAGGCTGGCTCAGCCCTGCCGCCGGGTGCCACCTACTACTCGTCGCCGCCGCAGCAATCCTCCTCGGGTCTGGGTTTCGGTAAGCCATCTAAAAGTTTTCGATAAAAAGTAGTCTGGGTTGTGGTTTCCAACCATCTGTGCCTATCAAATATTAACCCAAGTCATTACCACTTCGGCCAACAATCGGCTGGCTTTCAGCATTACTCACTTTCGGGCTAACGTCTTACTGTGGAAAAAACCTTGATTAATAATTGAGTGTTGTTTGCAGGAACTGGTCTTTTGGCTGGTGGCTTGGGCGGCGCTCTGCTGGGTCACGCCCTTACACCGTCTGGTGGCAGCTCCTCCTCGCAGCCGGTGGCCGCAGCTCCGGCCGCTGGACAGGATCGCATCATCATCATCAACAACGGTGTGCCGGTGAATGCCAGTGACGGCACCACCGTCATCAATGCGGCTGGAGTGGCAGCTGCGCCTGGAGCAGCTGCAGGAGCAGTACCAGCCATGAACGCCACCCAAGATGCCCAGCCAGCTGTACCCATGGCTCCAATTGCCCCCATGGCACCCTTCAATCCCGAGGCCTCCAACATGACGGCACCAAATGCCACGGATGCTGCAGCTCCGCCACCACCGGGCGGTATCATTTGTGTGCCCACCAAGGTGAACGAAACGGATCCCAACGACAGCACCAAGACGGTCGAGGTGGAGAAGATCGCCTGCTATCCGGCACCGCCGCCACCAGCAGCTCCTGCAGGCGAGGGACCAGCACCACTGGCCCCCATGGCACCCGTCCAGCCGGGATCCCAGCAGGTCCAACAGGCTCCGGACGTGGCCAGTCCCGTGCAGGCGTCCGTCAAATCGAATACCAATGGAGCCGAGTCTTTGAACGGCCTGATGGCTGCAGTGACGTCGCTACTGTTTGGTTTGGTGGCCAAGCGATTTGCATTCGCTGGCTATTAGGAAGAGTGTTGGCTGCTTCTGGAACGTTCCGCGCTCATCCCCCCATGCCCCCATGCCCGTTCCCCACAGACCTTTGCCTTTTCCAAGCTTTCAAGGTCTTGTGTTTGGTATTTTGTATTATTTTTTTGTGTCACCCCGTAGTGGCGCAGTTTGTTTTTCTGGCCAAGATCGATACCAGTTCTGCAGGCGCTAATTGGACAACATTTCACACCATCTCTCCCATTACAAATATAAACCCTGTCCCGGTATCCAGTATTTTCCCAGTCTAATTAGAATACTAATTATTTTGTTGATTAATCCATCCATCCATCCTCCACTCAGCCTTCAAATGTGATTACGATGATGGGAAAGCCATCCATAAAAAAAAAATCCATAAGAATCCAACAACGACAAAGACAAATGTTTAATGTGAATCTTGCATTCGAATATATATACTATATACTATATAATATTACTCACAACAAAAAAAAAGAAACCCTTTAATTGAAAAAAAAGACATAATTGAGAGCCAACGAGCTCTCACTAAAAAAGTGTATTATATATATTTTTCTAGAATTGTTAGCGTAACTGTTGCTTATTTTTTTTTTATTGTCTGTTTGTATTGTATTGTTGTAAGCAATTGTATTTGTTGCACTACTCCTACTCAAATTGTTATAAATAAACGCTTTCGCCTTAAAAAAAACACCCATAGCACCGACACGTAGTTGTTTTACTTTTTTTTTTTACTTTTACTCTGAAAAAACAGTCTGTATTAGTCATGTACTAATACATGACTAAATAGGGTATTGAATATTCAAACAGATGGGCTAATAATAGTGTATTCCTTTTCGGGAAGCTACTACTACCTTTCTTGGTCGTACAATGTTGATATAATGTCAAGAAAAGACGAAGAGTCTTGGATAAGGTGGGCAAATATTTGGAAGGTATACGATAAGGTAGCACTTTCCCCAAGGGGCTTTTTAAGATATGAGTATCTGAAGGAATACTTTTTAAAAGGGTGTCTCAAAAAAGAATTGATTTACATTCTTAAAGCTTTTAAATTTGAATATTGCATTAAGTACTTTTTTTAAAGCATATACCTTTTCTACCTACCTATCTTTAAATCTATAAACATTAAAATTAGATCCATAATACTGTTTTTTCTATATTTCCCAATTTTCTACACCTTAAGCTTCGGGTCTTGAAGAAATTTGTCTTTAAAATTAATAAAAAATTTTTATCAAAAATCTATTTTAATCTATTTATAAAATCTATTTTAAATTCTATACCTTTCTAGTCTTTAAAATCATAAACCCTTATTTAAAAACCCTAGAATTTTGTCTGATCTTCAAAAATATTACCCTTTTCCTAACCCAAAGTATCTTATCTAAGGTAGAATAGGTAGAATACCCGCTTCTTTTTATAAAATTTCATACTCTCCTAGTCTTTAAAATTCAAAATCCTATCTAGAAGTCCTAAAAACATATCCCCAATACTGTTCTTAATTTTTATTCAAAATTCAATTTTTTGAATTTGATTTGATTTTTAAAAATACCTGATCTACTGTTGAATACTGATTTTTCTTTTTTTTTTAATTTTATACCTTTTTAGAGTTTTTAAATTATATAGCCTATATAGAAATTATAAAAACATATCCCTAATACTGATCTTCACTTCCTTTTTAAAATCTCATACCTTCCTAGTTTTTAAAATCGTAAAGCTTATCTTGAAACCCCAAAAACATATCCCTCATACTGATCTTTCTTTTTTTAAGAGTTCATAAAGAGTCTAATATTTTAGGTATCTTTTTAAAAGTTTCTTTAGGTTCGTGTCTTGAAAAAAGTCTGTAAAATCGTAAAGCTTATCCGAAATTACATCCTTATACTGATCTTTCTATATTTTTTCTAAATGTTTTCAACCTTTTCAAATCTCAAATCTTTTCAAAAGCCCTTTTTTAAAAACCTTGCTGGTTCGGGAATTTAAGAAAATGGTCTTAAGAAAAATCATAAGCCTTTTATAGAAACTCTAGAATTAGTTATGATCTTCAAAAATACTAAACATTTCTAAGCCCAAAGTTTAATATTGGAACTAAAACCAAAAACTTCTCTAGATCAGACCCTACTTCAAATACACTATCCAGCTACTCTTTATTTGGAAACCTATATCTAGAATATCTATTCCAAACTTTTATCTTGATTTTCTAAAATATCTTTTTAGTATTCCACATCTTCCTTAATTCAAAATTTCTGAAATATTTATCTAAAGACCCTAAAAACTCTTTCCAATATCTGACCTTGACTTTGTAATATATCTTTTAAGTATTCCACAATTTTTTAAATCCAAAATATCTAAAATATATATTTAAAAACCCTAAAAACACCTCCCTATATCTGATATTAATATATCTTTTAAGTATTCCACATCTTTCTCAATCCAAAATATCTGAAATGTTTATCGAAAAACACCTCTCTATATCTGACCCTGATTTTATATCTCTCAGATATTCCACAACCTCCCAAGCGTGTAAAAAGTTCCCATAATTGTAGATTCATAAAAAAAAAACGAAAAAAAAAAAAAAATTCAAAAGGGAAAACCAAACTTTCACTTTGCAAACGCAAACCAGAGCGAGACAGCAATAACATACTAAGTTTAAAAAATAAAAAAAAAGCACCAATGGAATTATAATTTATCTGAAAAGCCCAATCAAGCTTTGGTTTTTTTTTTAAAGGTTAATTATAATTAGTTTACTAGAAAACCGAGTCACTAGCATGGCATGTTCTTAATTGCTTTCATTTTTTAATCGTTAATCAAATAATAGAATTTTTAATTTAAAAAAACATAATTATTTAAGATTTACACACAAATATTGTTTATTTTTGCGGTGAACCCATCAAGGGCTATTATCGTAATAAAAACAAATCAGCCATACAAGATTCATTGTAAACCCAATTTTATGGTAATGGAGATGATGATGGTGGCCATCATAGCATCGTTTACTCGGCATCGTCGTCCTCGTCGTCGTTGGAGCTGATCCTGAAGTAACGCAGCTCGTACGAGTCCTTCTCGTTGGCCACCACACGGATCCAATCACGGAGACTGTTCTTCTTCAGGTACTTCTTGGTCAAGTACTTGAGGTAGGCCTTGGAGAAGTGGACATCGGAGCTGACGTGCAGCTTCAGCTTGGAGCGCTCAAAGGTGACGTTGTTGCCCAGGTTGTTCACCTTGCCGTTGACCTTAAGGCGGGCCTTCACGTACTTCTCCTGTGGATTAAGGTTCGGGAATCAGGGATACAGTTAGTTCCGCTTGCTAATCTCATAATCTGCGATCAGGGTTTAGTTGGTTAAGTGAATGGAATTAGAATATCTCTTACTTTGTTAAGGCCAAAAGTCAAAGGAAAAGAACAAAAGGCCCAAATAAAGAAGAGTGACCAATTTTTTAATCTGCCACTGAGTACACTGCCATCAGAGCGACGCATTGGAGCTCACTCTCTGACGGCAAATCGGCGTGGCCCACAAAATGGTGCTACAATGATATCTTATGTATTAGTATTAGATGGTAGTTACCTGATCCTGTCGTGGTTGGGTGAAATAACGGGCTGCGCCCTGCTCTCTCTCTCTCTGTTCTTAGTGGCTCGTCTAGAGCACTCGGTTTGCCCACTTTTTAGTTTGGGGTAGATCTTTTTAGAGCTTGTGGAGATGGGGGGGGGATTGGGATGTTTCCCAAAACACACAAGAATCCTCTTCTACTTAGGTGAGTGGGAAAACCTGCAGTGTCTCGAATGTGAGAACACCTTTAAGCAGGGCGCACTATGAATTTTGGCCTGAGGCGACACGGTTGTGACGCACTCAACCCAGGGCCCACCACGTGGCGGTACACATAGCACGACTTGACGCTGTTCACAGACGGTTGCACCACTGGCCAGTGCCAGGTCACTGGCGGTCAGTGGCTACCCCGTTGCGCAACGCCCAGAGCCCCTTTGTCAGAAAAGAACAACAGACGCGTGTGCCAAGTAGTGATAGGCAGCGAAAGGTATCGAAACGAGGTTACGGATCACAATTCTTCTAATTCTATATACTACTATACTCTTCTACGGTCTACTACTACGGTCTATTAAGCGTTAGTCTTGTTCCAGAAGTTGTTAACCGCAAGCAGCAGGGCAGATCGTCTACTGGCAGTAATCGCAAATGGAGAGGCTTCGCTATAACCACAACTTTTTATCCAAAGCCCCTGGTTTGGTTTGGCGGGCAATGAAAAGCTTGGTGCGGTACATATTGATTCTGATATGAGTCCAGGCTGGTGGGCATCCGGGCAACTGGGCATCCGGACACCTTCAGCCTGTGGGAGAAGAGTACATCTCCAGTCCATTCGGGTACTTACAAAGTCGGCCACATCCATGATGCTGTCCTCAGCAATGTTGGTGCAGTCGATGGTGAAGCGGAGGGAGACCTTCTTCTTCTTCTGGCCCTTGCCGCGGAGCACATTCTTCTTGACCACCTTGCTGGGAGCCGGAGCAGCCTTAGCCTTGGGCTTGGGAGCAGCCGGCTTGGCAGCGGCCGGAGCAGCAGCAGCAGCCGGAGCTGGGGCGGCAGCAGCGGCGGCGGGAGCAGCAGCCTTGGCGGCCGGAGCAGCCTTCTTTGCCGGAGGAGCGGCAGCCGGGGTGGTAGCGGCCTTCTTGGCGGGGGCAGCAGCCTTGGCGGGGGCAGCGGCCTTAGCATCCTTCTTGGGAGCAGCGGCAGCGGCGGGAGCCTTCTTGCCGGCATCCTTGGCGGCGGCGGGCTTGGCAGCAGCGGGCTTAGCAGCTGCGGGCTTGGCAGCGGCAGCAGCCTTCACGTCCTTGGCGGCCTCGGGCGCCTTCTTGACGTTCTTGGCGGCAGCGGCGGTGGGCTTGGCGGCCTCAGCCTTGGGCTTCTCAACCTTGCCCTTGGCGGCGGCGGCAGGAGCGGCCTTCTTTTCGGCTGGCTTGGCAGCAGCCTTGGTATCACCCTTGTTGGTCTTGGCCTAAATCACAGAAAAAAAAGAGCACAAAAAGTGACGAGTGTTTTAGGTTTGTCTTGCAGGCGCTTTTCATTCATTTCTCTTGAAAATAATCAAACCCACGGCTTCTATGGACCGTGTTCTTTATTATTTTCATATTTAACTATTCTTTTTTAAGAATATTGCTTGGAATATACACTTGTTGGGAGCACTTACGGTAGGAGCCATCTTAATCAGTCAAAAACCACGAGGAAAAGAAATGGCTGAAGTTTGGAGGTTAAAAAGAAGAAAATAGTGTGGCAGCTCTTGGTATAAAAAAAAGGCCAAAGAAAAATCGCGTTTATATATTTCAGATAGTTGGCAACGCGAAAACTAAGAAATTAACAGAATATGGTTACATTTTCTATTATTTTTATATCAATTTCTTATTTATAAATGTAAAAATTGTATATTAAAATAAACTATAATATATTAGCAGAACAAAACCATCTTTGGTAGTTACTGAAAATACTTTTGAATACCAATTGCACCAATTGATCTCTTTGAACATACTTTTTTGAAATCCAATAACTACTTAATTCTTCTAAATTTCTTTTTACTATTATTGATTGTATTTTTTCTGCTCTATTATGTTTATTTTAATTTGTTTATAAAGTATAACCCTGCGACCTGACAACTCTATTTAGTAAGACCACTCAGAGCGCTCTTATTTAAGGTAATAACACTGGCCTCTGGTCACACTCTTTTCGTTGTGCTGAACCCCGTTCGCTTACTCGTGGCGAAATTTTGCATTTTCCGTACGCTCTCAATTTGTGCAGCAAAACAAAGTTAGTACCACCGAACCGGATACTCACCCTTGACAGATTCGAATAACATTCAAACCTTTCCAGATGCCGGGCATTGAAACGATCAAATCCTCGTGGGCCGATGAGGTGGAGCTGGATTACGGCGGCCTGCCGCCTACAACTGAGACCGTGGAGAATGGCCACAAATATGTGACGGAATACAAGTACAACAAGGATGACAAGAAGACCAAGGTGGTGCGAACGTACAAGATATCCAAACAGGTGGTGCCCAAAACGGTGGCCAAGCGTCGCACCTGGACAAAGTTCGGTGAATCCAAAAACGACAAGCCCGGCCCGAACTCCCAGACGACGATGGTGTCCGAAGAGATCATCATGCAGTTCCTCAACTCCAAGGAGGATGAGAAGGCCAACGACCCGCTGCTGGATCCCACAAAGAACATCGCCAAGTGCCGTATTTGCAACGGCGAGCATTGGTCGGTCAACTGTCCGTACAAGGGCACCGCCATGGACACGAATCTGATGGAGAAGAAGGCCACCGCTGCTGCCGCCGCTGCTGTGGATGCGCCCAAGTCTGGCAAGTATGTGCCACCGTTCCTCAAGGACAGCGTTGGCAAGGTCGGCATGGGTATGCGAGGACGCGACGACACCGCTGCAATCCGTATCTCTAACCTTTCCGAGTCGATGACCGAGGCGGATCTGGAGGAGCTGGTGAAGAAGATTGGACCCCAGAGCAAGATGTACCTGGCCCGCGACAAGAACACCGGTCTCTGCAAGGGCTTCGCCTACGTTCACTTCAAGCAGCGCAAGGATGCGGCTGCCGCCATCGAAATCCTCAACGGTCACGGCTACGACCATCTGATTCTGAGTGTGGAATGGTCCAAGCCCCAAAATAATTAGGTTTTCGTTGTCCGTGTCCATTCTTCTACAACCTGTTTTCCACCCCCACTCCCCGCCCTGTCACTACTGCTTATAGGAGTTTTAGGATCGATCATATAATATGTCCTTAATCTATAAGTTTGCTGCAAAAATAAATGAAAAACAAACTGCCCCGAAGGGGGCATCGAAAAGATCAACAAAAATATTTATTTCATCAGAGGTTTTATAGTATTTAATAAATCTTATAATCGGTCTTTATATAGAATGAAATCGGAATCAATATTATTTTATTTGAATCACTGCTACTGCTATCTCTTTCGTTTTTGTATTCACGGGCTAAAATATACAGTATCCAACAAAAAAAACAGATATATTTTTAACTAAAAAATTAAGAATAATGAAATTTTTAATATATAATCTCTAAAGATTAATTTTTTTATTAATTTACTTATCATTTCTTATCAATGGAATCCACTTTATTGAGTAACCACTGTTTGGAGTCTCAGCACTCTGGTCACACTGCAACTGATTGTTTTTATTATTTGTGTTGTTTTTGATGTTTTTTCTGCTTTTGCCAGCGATTTGCGTAAATTGTGTTTGCGTTTGGGATCTAATTATAGAACTAATAGATGCCGCAAAACATTCAAAATCGCCCAAGAGACACGGAACAATATTTTTGAACTGCAGGTGTGCGCTCATTTTCAGTCGGACGTGACCGGCCCCCAGATTCAAATCGAAGGTGTCTGTTTTTCGTCGCCCCCGAAAATGGAGATGCGAAAATCCTCATTGGTGAAAGCCAGTGGCACCTCCAAGTCCAAATCCAGCATTCCCAATCCTCAGATCAAGCGGGGCCAAAGGATTCTCACCGAAAAGCCATTCGCCTTTGTCCTGAAATCCAAGTACCGACTGGAACGATGTGATAACTGCCTGGAGGCGTGAGTTTTGAGTCATATATCCTGATCCTTCCCAGCATTCTATTGATTTTTGTGTTATATCCTTAGTACCAAAGTCCTTAAATGTTCCAACTGCCGTTATGTTTCTTACTGCAATCGAGCCTGCCAATCGCAAGCCTGGGGCCAGCACAAGCACGAGTGTCCTTTTTTGAAGAAGGTCCATCCCAGGATCGTGCCAGATGCCGCCCGAATGCTGTGCCGCCTTATCCTGCGCCTGGAGCATGGCGGAGACCTTATTCGGGGCTACTACACCGAGCACGGCTCTCGCAAGTTCCGAGATCTAATGTCACGTTAGTATTTTGGAGGATTCTTTCAAGAAAACCATATCAATTCCTTGCCCATATCCTTTAGATTATGCGGAGATCAAGAATGACCCGATGCGACTGGAGCATTTGGACTCCCTGCATGCTGTGCTCACCGACATGATGGCCGAGAGCCCCAGCACGGTGCCAAACAAGACGGAACTGATGAGCATTTACGGACGTGTAAGTGATCAGGGTGGGGTGGGGCCAGACAGGCGCTACCACCTGCTTTTCAGGAGCGGATTACCTCAAGTTTTCTTTTAGAAGCCCTATATATACCTTTCGAGGGGAGTCGCTCCTGGTCGCGCCTGGTTGGCCGCCAATTTAAGTGACAATCGCTGCTGTTTGGTTGGCGCTCTGCCAGCCAATTGATCATCTTTGGGGGGATGTTCAGGTGACTGCTTTCACATTCCCCGAATCTCTACTCACTGCGGCTTTTGGTTTTCCTCTCCACCCGCAGCTTATTACCAACGGTTTCAATGTGTTGGACGCCGAGATGAACTCCATTGCCACGGCCATTTACCTGGGCGTTTCGATCACGGATCATAGCTGCAAACCGAATGCGGTGGCCACGTTCGAGGGCAACGAGCTCCACATCCATGCCATCGAGGATATGGAGTGCCTGGACTGGTCGAAGATCTTCATCAGCTACATAGACCTGCTGAATACCCCGGAGCAGAGGCGTCTGGATCTAAAGGAGCACTACTATTTCCTCTGCTGTTGCAGCAAATGCATCGATCCGCAGGAAACCAAAGAGATGACAGCGGCTCTGTGTCCGAATAGCAATTGCGGTGTCGGTGTGAATCCTGAGCTGACGAACTGCAAGCGATGTGCCGCCGGGATCAGTCCCAAGCTGAGGAACTCCTACAACAATGTAATGGCACTCACCCGATCCAATCTAGAGTCTATGAAGGATGTGGCATGTAAGGTTTATGGATGATTTTGAAATCTTAGGACCTAATGGAACTTTCCTTTCCAGACCTGGATGTGTGCAAGGTGTGCCTTAATAAGCAGGCTGGTGTGCTGCATCCTCTGAATGTGTGGCATGTCAAGACCCTGGATGCCGCCTTCGAGGCTGCCATCGATGTGGGCAAGTGGGCCGATGCCCTCGATTATGGCCAGAGGCTGTTGCCGGGTTTCAGGAAGTACCACGGTGCCTGGAACCCCCTGCTTGGACTGTTGCACATGAAATTGGGAAAAATTCAACTGTACGAGCAGCGTGCCAAGGAGGCACTGCCCCATCTGGAAGATGCCTTGCGAATTCTAACTGTTACACATGGACGCGACCACAGGCTTCTGGCTGAGCAGCTGTATCCGCTGCTCATCCAGGCTCGGCATGAAGCCAACTGCTGAACTGTGGAGGTTCCTTATTGTGTTTTTTCTTTTTATTGGTAAAAATAAAGCTTAAGTTATAGAATATAATGTAAATAGGTCCCTTGCCCGGCCGGATTCTTTAAACGATTTGGGTGATGGCCTTGGCCCTACGATCGGTGTCCTGGAACAGTGCACGGATCAGGTGCTTAATCTCGTCGGCCTTGTAGCTGGCAGTCAGTGGCCCGGCGCCGTCACACCACAGTTCGGTGATCTCCTTCAGCGAGGCATTCATCATGGTCTTGAGCTGCTTCAGCTTCAGCCAGGAGTGCACCTGCACCACCTGATTCGGTTCGCCGAACAATTGCGGCGCCTTCTCGAGCACCACGTCGATGAGGTCGCTCAGCTCGCAGGCCATTGTGGCCGATATATCTCGCAGCGTGAAGACTCGACGGATTAGTTCCGCCGCGAACGTGTTCAGGAGCTCGCAAAAGGTGCTGATGTACGTCTTCTCCGGCAGGACATTGAACCAAACGTTCTTCAGCAGCTCCAACTGACGCAGGCACTGGCGCACCAGCTTCAGGGGACCAGTGCCCAGCGTGTGCGGACTCTCGAACTCGAAGCCCTGCAGGATTTCCATTAGAATCGAGTTCTGATAGTCGACCTGGACCCGGAACTGCTTTTGGCCGCACACCTGCAGGGCTTTGGCCAATGCCGGCAAGCTATCGATGCCCTTGTTGGCATGCTGGGCCACCCAGTGCTGGAAGAACATGCAGTTGTTGTAGAACAGCACCGATTGCTGGGGCACGCTGTCCAGCAGCTTGCGGTGCACGATGGGCACTTCCGACATGTACGTCTGCAGCATTACGCCAATAACTCCGGTGAAGGATAGTCCAAATAATCCCGATTCTGCTTCCGTGTCGCCCATTTTCTCGACAGGCTGGCGCAGGATGCGATCCATTAGTTTCACAAAGTCCTGGACAAAAAAATGTTATAATGGGACACTTCCAGGAGAATCATTTTATTGACTTACCTGTGCACTCTTGGACACCATGCAGCGGGGAAAGAGGAAAGGATCGCTAGACACCTCGGCGGCCAGGTTGTTGGGCGCCACCAGGACCATGTCCTGCAGATCGCGCTGTATGATCTCGCGTGCCGTTTCCAGGACGCGCTTAAAGAGCTTGTTGCGGAAGTAGGTCTCATACTGCTTCACAAACTCTCCCAGGGCGCGATCCACTTCAGGATTAATCAGAAAAGTATCGGCCAGCAGCTGCTCGAAGTTGACCACGTCCTCGCACAGTGTTGACGACTGGTACTCCTCCATGGTCTCGGGAACAGCTGGCACCAGACACTCCTCCAACAGAAGATCGAGCATCTTGTCCTTTACATGCTCCCCGATTATCGTGAACACATGCTGATCGTTAGAGACGCTGCAGTTGATGCCGCCGAGTGTCTGGAGCAGCAGTTGGAAGTTGGCCAGCACCTGCTTGTAGCTTGGACGCAGTTGCGAGGAGTTTGGTTCTTTGGTGGAGTAAGAGAGCGACAAATGGATGAAGGTATCACCCTCGGCGGTTTCGTTAAACTCCGCCATGACGGGTCGGCGGATCAACGGCTCGATGCAGTTCTCCCAAAGGAATTCGCAAATCTTCACTGGATTGTAGCTCTCCTGGAAGAGGGCATGGACGACGTCCTGTAACTGGGCCTCATCGCGGCTAACCTGCAAGGTGACACAGCGCGAGGTGGGGAAGGATTTGCACTGCAGTTGCACGAGGCGATCGAAGCGCTCCTGGAGAGTCTGTTGCAGCAGATGGGACTGTACGTGGTACTTCACTTTGATGGTGTCGTGGCATTCGAGAGCCTGGAAGACGCGATGCACCTCGGGCGGTGCTTCCTCGCCATAGATCAGAGCCTGCAGGCGACTTACCAGATCCAGGACCACCAAGTAATCCTTGGTGGCCTTGGCGTCCTCGATGCACTGGAACAGCTCGTCAATCTTGAGAACGAGCTCACTAACAGCCAGACCTAGGAGAATCTCCCGCTGCTCCCGTCCACCGGCCGCCAGCTTTGAGTTGGCTTCATCCAGGGCACCCAGGCCTTCGCTACTGACCGTCTCCAGCAGATCCGCTACCTCTCGTCCCAGCGAACTAGCTTCCTCGAGGTAGATGTCCGGTGAGGTGTGATTCGGCATGAAATCTGTATAGTCCTCCTCGATGAAGTTACGGACGCGCACCTGGAAGCGCTCCGCTCGCGTCATCACCTTCAAAATCGCCGACTTGGTGGCTTCCACGCTGGCGCAGTCGCCAAAGCCACCATTCTCATGGAAGACCTCCTCCATCGCCTGGTTCCTCGGCGCCGTTGCAGCCATGTTCTCTTGCTATCTTATGTTCCTAATTGGTGTTTTTCCTTTTTGGCAAAAAGCGGCAATCAAAACAAATACTGATACTGCAATTTTCGGCTTCTGCTGCTTTGATTGAGGACTGCTAGTGATGGCAATTCAAAAAAAACCGATTGTTAACAGTTTTTATGACGTGTTTATTTTCAAATTAAAAATAAAAGAAAATATTATATTAGTTGATAGTTACACTATAAATAATATTATATTTTTATACCTATAAATCAAGTTGTAAAATGTTATATACGTTAAACTTTTAAGCACTATTAAGTGTTGATTAATTAATCGATAACAGTTATCGGAACAAATTAATTTTGATAGGGAAGCGGTAAGCTGCTTTTTATATTATTTTGTGCAAAAAAAACCCATTAAAGTAACCTGTGCTATATTTGTAGTTGAATTCCGGACGGTAAAAAGTGACAGCTGAAAAATATTTAAACCAAGTAGGCAGTCCCACCCCAGATCCTCCGTGTATCGATAGATAGGCGCCAGTAGCTAAATAATCGTAGGGCCGATCCCACCATTTTTGAATTCTCTATAAAAAAAATGCTTAGCGTCTACCAGTAATTTTTTCGGCATTATTAATTAAGTTTTTTTTGTTAGCTTAGGGCCAAAACAGATACTTTTATTAACGATCTAAGTCGCTGCTGTTTTACAAAATTACGACAAGTATTCGGTTTCGATAGGATCCGCGTCCTCTGACGAAAAACGCGCGAGTTGAGGCTAAATTGTCAGTGGACATTGCCGGTTTTCCATCCGTTGTTACTCCAATTTCATACCCATACACATAGCCGGTCGCAGAGGTAAGTGATTTTTACTTAAAGTGGTGCAGATGTGAAAATATATATTCCTATATCCCGCCCACGGTAGATGTCTGGAGAGGATCCCAGCTCGGTAGCTGTGGCGCTACGCGTACGTCCTCTGGTGCAATCGGAACTGGATCGGGGATGTCGCATCGCTGTAGAACGGGCCGCAGACGGATCACCCCAGGTCACCGTTAATCGGACGGAATCCTACACATACAATCACGTTTTTGGCATCGAGGATACCCAGAAGGAGCTGTTTGAGAGCTGTGTCGAGGAGAAGTTGAAGCGTTTGCTGAATGGTTATAATCTTACTATCTTGGCATACGGTCAAACTGGCTCTGGTAAAACATACACAATGGGGACTGCCTTCAATGGCTCGCTGGACGACCATGCCGGTGTAATACCCCGTGCCGTGCACGACATATTCCGTGAAATAGCCGTAATGTCCAAGGACTATCGTTTCCATGTAACATGCTCCTTTGTCGAGCTATACCAGGAGCAATTCTACGATCTCTTCTCGACAAAGCCTCGCGACAAAGCCACCGTTGATATCCGAGAGGTGAAGAACAAAATTGTGATGCCAGGACTAACCGAATTGGTGGTGAAATCCGCCCAGGAGGTGACCGAATATCTGATGCGCGGCTCGGCCGGTCGTGCTGTGGCAGCTACTGCCATGAATGAGACATCATCCCGATCTCATGCCATCTTTACACTCACATTGGTGGCCACCAAGGTCCATGGAACGTAAGTGATCCGTTTTTGAGTCTTTAGATTCTTTTTTTTCAAATCTGGCTCTTCCAGACAATCGGTAACTACTTCGCGGTTCAATCTGGTGGACCTGGCCGGCTCCGAGCGCTGTTCCAAGACCCTCGCCAGCGGCGATCGCTTCAAGGAGGGTGTCAACATTAACAAGGGCCTTCTTGCTCTTGGCAATGTTATCAACGCTTTAGGATGTGAGTAGGCTTCCAAAGATAATGACTTTCAATCACGGGTTTGTGTAACTTTTGCAGCTGGCCAGGTTGCTGGCTTCGTCCGTTATCGGGATTCCAAGCTCACCCGCCTTCTTCAGGACTCGCTGGGCGGCAACTCCATTACCCTCATGATAGCCTGCGTCAGTCCCGCTGACTACAATGTGGCCGAGACGCTGAGCACTCTGCGCTATGCGGATCGCGCCTTGCAGATCAAGAACAAGCCGGTGGTTAACCTCGATCCTCATGCTGCCGAGGTCAATATGCTGAAGGACATCATTCAGAAGCTGCGAGTCGAACTGCTGGCGAATGGAAAGATGAGCAGCTCCATAACTAGTGCCATTGGCTCCGCTGGCTTGAGTTCGGCGCCAAGTTCGGACGCAGACTCGCTTTCAGGCTCCGCTGGCCAGGCAGAGGAGATAAAACGCTTGAAAGAGGAGAAGCGCGTGCTGGCGGAACGTGCTCGGAAGCTGGAGCAGGAGCTGCACCAGTCGTGGGCCGATCTCACCGAGAAGGAGATGCGCGTGGAAATAGCCGAGCATGCGCAGGAGAAGCTTCGCACCTATGTCCTCCAGATAAAGGCCAAGCTGGAGCAGCAACAACAGCAGAAGGCGGAGAATGGCGACGATGCCGACGATGGCATGAGCGATCCGATGAAGGAGATTAGCCAATTGGTGGAGCAAGTCGACAATGAACTCCATCGGACACAGGACGAGCTGGAGAGCCATGGCGCGGAGGCACGACGCCAGCTGTCTGGTCGCTCGCCCAGCGATCGTGAGGAGAACAGTTCGAGTGCCGGTGACGAGGTCCAGGAAATGATGCAGTCCCAGTCCGAGGAGTTCACCAACAAGCAGCTGAACCTCGCCGGGGAGCTGCGTACCATCAACCGCCAGCTGGATCTCAAGAAGGAGCTGCACGATCGCATCATGCGCAACTACAACCGGCTGGAGGGCGATGACGAGGGCGACGTGCTGCGCCTGTGCCACCAGAAGATCGAAGATCTTGAGGTTGAGCGGCGGGATCTGATGGATCAGCTGCGCACCACGAAGAGCAAGGACAACATGGCCAAAATAGCCGAAGAAAGGCGCAAGCGCTTACAGTCCCTGGAGACGGAAATCGCCGATTTGCGGCGCCGAGTTATCACCCAGGCGAATATGCTCAAGATGCGCGAGAAGGAGAAGGAGAAGATCACCAACCTGAGCGGCGAAATTCGTGCCATGAAGGAGTCCAAGGTGAAGCTGATCCGGGCCATGCGCGGCGAGTCCGAAAAATTTCGCCAGTGGAAGCTGGTGCGCGAGAAGGAGCTAACCCAGCTGAAGAGCAAGGACCGCAAGATGCAGTCCGAGATGGTGCGCCAGCAGACGCTTCACGCCAAGCAGCGTCAGGTGTTGAAGCGCAAGTGCGAGGAGGCACTGGCCACCAACAAGCGCCTGAAGGACGCTCTGGAGCGTCAGGCCACGGCCCAGGCTCAGCGACACAAGAACCAGAAGGATCATGCGTCCGCCAGTTCACACGGCAACTCCTCCAGCCATGCCAAGACCGATTCGTGGGTTGATCGCGAACTGGAGATCATTCTCTCGCTGGTGGATGCGGAACACAGTTTGGAGCAACTGATGGAGGACCGAGCGGTGATCAACAATCATTACCATTTGATGGAGAAGCAGACCAGCATCAATCCGGCGGACATGCATGAGCAGGTACGACTGCTGGCCCAACTGGAGGAGGAGCTGGAGATGCGCAATGCCCAGATAGCCGATTTGCAGCAGAAGGTCTGCCAGAGTGATCTCGATTCCCGGATCAAGGCCTTGGCCGAGGGCGTCCAGAGCATTGGCGAGGCCCGTACGGTTAGCAAGCATCTCTTGAAGTCCATGGTGCAGCAGAGGCGCCACCAGGCGGCCAGCATCAACGAGCAACGCACCCAGATGGACGAACAGCGGGCACAGCTGCTGGAGGCGCAACAAAATCAAGAGGCAGCTACCAAACGTCTCCGTTTGGCCGAGGCCAAGCACGAGGAGCAAATGCTCAACCTGCAGCGCAATTACGAGGAGAAGGTGGCCGTTCTGCTGCGGGCAGCCAACCAGCGACCAGACGAGGGCGAAACTGCTGCCTCCAAGCAGGAGCAGGAACAGCAGCGCCAACAGTTTCTGGACGAGCTGGTTAGCAGTCGTGAAGCATTGCAGCTGGAACTGGACACGCTAAGATCGAAGATGTCCGCCAAGAAGAAGCCGAAGGAACCCGAAGTTATACCCGAGGATCCCGACGAGAGTGTCATTCTCATGTCGGAAACATTGGAGCTAAGCGACGTTAGTAGTGACCCCGACTGGTTGCCATCCAAATCCAAGGTGAAATATGCGAATGGTGTGGTGTCAGGTCACCGGGCAGGGATACAGTGGGTGGTTCTGTTTTCTTAAGCTAATCTTTACTCACGTTTCCTTCAGAGATCCTCACAGTCGAAGAATCGGAACAATACCGCCGATCGGGATGTCTCGGGATCGGCACTAGCCCAGGATGCCACTAACGGATCGATGCAGTCCATTAACTCCACAACGCCAGCATCGGGGGCGATCCTGGAGGATTCGAAACGTGCCTTCTACTGCAAGTGCCGCACCAGATGCAATTCCAAGCGGTGCGGCTGCTTTGGCGCCGGAAACGGTTGCTACTCGGGCTGCGTTTGCAAGGGCCATTGCATGAATCCCAATAACACCGCCAATATGCCGCCGCCGGAAAACGGCCAGGGCGATGCTCCCATGATGAAGGCTGAAATACGCGAGGAACCGGCGGCTGAAGATCCTGGGGCTGGATCATCTGAAGATGCCAAGTCAGACGGGCAGTCCGGCAAGGAGAACTTTGTATCGCCGCCGCAGCCATCAACGTCATCCGGATCGGTGCCGGAGGAGGTCAGCAAGGGCGGCATGGACCAGCCGATGGCAGCGAGTGGTGGCCAGCCCTTGGTCACCGCCAATGCTACGATAGACGACATCAGCGCTCCAAAACTGGCCAGGTGGGAACGAGTCAGTAACAATGTTCGATTTTACGTCAAGTCTCTGTTTCCAATTTGCAGGATGTCCGGACTAGCCTTCTCCACGCCCAGGCGGAAGTTCTTCTGATGTCTCGGCTGATGCTGGAATCTCTCGCTGGAATAACCTCCACCCATCCCATCCTCCACCCTCCTCCTCCTTTAGGTCAGATATAACCAATAAAGCTTCGACAAACATGCATTCCAGGTATTCTTTCAATTTTGTTCCAAAAACCCTCCAAGAACGAGCCGGAGACGGAGCCGGAGCCGGAGCCGGAGAAGCCATCAGCACGGTTATGAGCGAGTTGGGTGTAGGCGCCTCTCCTCCCCCTTTTATTGTTGATTTATCTTTTGAATGGCCTGTTGCCCTCGTAGCTTAAGGTTTTTTTTGAAATTAAATACTTTATTTTTATTTTAAAATATTTTGACATTAAATAGCGATAAGTGCACGTCCGTTTCCCCCTAAAATAATTTTGTTTTTAATTTTAAATCCATAATAAAGTAGAAAATTAGGAAATATAATTAAGGATTTTTGATCTTACTGGGGGGAATATATTCTTATAGATTTATAGATATATTTAGATAGGATATGGATCAGAATTGGAGAAGATATAGACATCGGAATGGGCCCTATAGGGGAAAACCCCATTTTCAAGGCGTCCCATCAGAAAAAATGGACAAAAAATCTAAAAAATATTTTGTTGCCAGATTTTGATGCAGAATAATGGAGAATCGATATAGAAATCGTTTAAGGTACTCCGCTTGAGAATCGGATGAGAGTTGGGGAAGATATAGACATCACACTGGGCCCTATAGGGAAAACCCCAATTTTTTCAAAAAGTTTTTTTAAGAAAACTAGATGTTAGGAACTCTATGGATCTCCCAAGATATAGAAACTCTGGATGTTATATTTTCGACATTTTATTGTTTTTGTATTTGGTTCTTTTTTCATAACAGTTTATGTGTGTGTGTGTGTTGTGTGTGTGTAGGCGAGGGCGGTGTGTGATTCGGGAGTGTTTGTTGTGCTCTCAGGATTCACTTTCTTAATTTTAAATTTTTTCTACCAAAGGATATTATTACTTTCTTTTTTTTTTTTTATTAATTATTGAGGTGTGGGAGCGTGGGCGTGGTTCTTAAAGCACCAATAACAGTAAACAGAATGACAAAGAGAAACAAACAGAAAAAAAATATTTTGAACAGAACTAAAAAAAAATTAAATATTAAAAAAAAAAGAACAAAGAAATTCGATTGGTGCCCGGAAAAAAAATGCCAGGACCTCTACCGCTAATCACGATATCATATTAAGGATCATTCCCACCACAGGATGTCCAGGATGGATGGATTCAGTGGCCAAAACAATAAATAAAATATTAAAATAAATGTTTTTGCGCCTTGAAACCGAAACTGTTGGAATCCTCTGAGGATCTTAGTTGTTCTTCAAGGACATGTGGGTGGCTTGTGGGTGGTGAATGATACTGGGTACAAGTACATCGATTATTGCGCTTGTAAGTACATAAGGTCTAGAATTCTTGTTTCTTTTTTTTTTTTCTATATATTTCTTGCTCTGGTGTGAATGATAATTAATTATTTTGAATTTTTCATTTTAATTATTTCGTTTTGTTGTTTTTGTGTTTGTTGTTGTTTTAACAGATTATCAATTTACAATACATTAATGTACAAATTTTAAATAATCATAATAATAATACATAATAGTTCTACTCAATATACATACAATATTTATATTTTCTTCTTAATTTTTGTTTTTCGTTTTTTGTTTTTTTTTTTTTATAAATATAGCGCAATTCTTTCACTACAGACTATACAAAAAAATTATATATATATTTAATGAAATTACACATAATGGAGAGTTTTTTTTTTATTATTATTATTTTTTTTTCTTTGTGAAGATTCCCCTAATTTTGTTTTTTTTTTTTTCAGTGTATGTGCGTGTGTGTGGTGCGTGCATTTTTTTTCATAGATCTTGTCTAAAACATTTGTTCTTTCTTTATTTTTTAAATTAATATTTAAATTTTTTTAATTTGTAATTTATTATTCTTAAATTTTTTTCTCTTTTTTTTTGGCAATATTATTATTTTTTTTTAAGATGAAATGGATTTTTAGAACGAAACAACAATATCATATATGCGCTTTTGTGGTGTGTAGGGTGTGTGTGGTGTGTGTTTGAGTTGTGATTGTGTGAGTGGTCGCCTTATCCTTAGAAAAAAAAATGTACAAATAAAGTAAATCAGAATAGTGACAGGACAACACTGAACCTTGCCAAAAAATTGTGCGATATTTGCATTCTTGTTTTGGTTTCTTTTGGTTTTTTTTTTGCTGAGGATGCTACGATGGCTATAATGATGACTTGATGCTCTCCATGATGATGACTCTCCTTCTAGACTGTCTCCAGTACACGTACATCCTTTTGGACAACATAGAACTTGTGCTTCTTGCCCACTAATCCCCATATGACGGCCACATTCTCGATCACCACATTCACCGGTATCGTACACACCGCACCCAGGACACAGGCCAAAAACCGGAACAATCCAAAGCGATATAACGAAAAGGACTTGATCACCCCAAACACATACATATAGATATTAATGGCCGCTATAAAGGCGCACAGAAAGTCCACCAGATTGGGACACGGTATCGGATACACGGCAGCGAATATAATGTTCGATGTGGAGAAGGGCATGGTCACCCACGAATAGACACTGATGCCGAGCAATAGCTTGTGCTTGAAGGGTATCATCTTGGAGTGCACCACCAGCAGGATGCCTTGGAGCCAACGCTTCCGTTGCTGGAGGAAGTCCAGCATGGTGAAGGGGGACTTCTCGTACATCTCGCCGTCGATAAAGTTGAAGGTGTAGCCCTGACTGAAGGCGCGCATCGCAAAGAAGCAATCCTCGGCCACAGAGCCATCGATGCCATTGTCAAAGGACACGGAACGTTCAGCTGCCACCTGCAAGACAAGGACTAATGTTAGTACATAAGACAGAGATAGATCTCTTTGAGGATACCCACCTGGGTGACCACATAGCTGCCCTTCCAGCTGAAGAGCGGTTTGTGGAAGAGCTTGAACTGTAGCCGTAGCTTGCCCATGTCATCGGAGACCCGGAAGCTATCCGCCAGCGTCGTCAGCCAGTTGACCACATTCTCATTGGCGTACGTGATCAGACCCTGACCGAAGGGATGCTTACCATCGAGGACAAAGTTAATGATGCCACGCACCGAGTTCTTGGTGAGCACAGTCTCCTCATCCAGATGGACAATCCAATCGTTGTCGTTCAGGATATTCACCTTATCCTCGAGGCAGTATTGCAGGGCCCGGGACTTGAAGAGGGCGCCCGTACGCGTCTTGTACTCTTTGGGGACAACGATCTCACGGATGCGACGATGCTGCGCCAGATTCACCGCCTTATCGGTCACCACTTCAATAAGGAAATTCTCCAACCCAGTGTCCAGACACGTGTTCATATTCCGCAGGACATTGGTCTTGACCAGATCGGGAAAATCACCGCGAGTTACCACCCGGATGCAGATGAAGGGCGCCAGGAGGGGGCTGCCCTTGAGGACGACCTTCTCGGGGAAGGCATTATAGAAGACCAGGCCGCAAAAGTTGAACAGCACCTGGGGCAGCGTGAGGAGCGTCAGAAAGCGGAGTAAGTACAGCAGAACTGTGGCCACCTGGCCGTATTCAGTCCATGGATCGACGATCGTGAACGAGTTCTCGTCGATCTTAATACCGCCGGAGAATACTTCGAAGGTAACTATCACAGTGATGAGCAGTGTGCAGTGCAGCAGATGCTTTGTGGTGGAGTTCATCCTGGATTACAAATCCTGGCTGGCTGGATGGCTTCTCTATCTTAAGTGTGCGGCTTTTTGTTCGTTCGTTCGTTTTTTTATTTTTTATTTTTTATTTTTCGTTCGTTTTTTTTAGATGATGAGAGTCTTATTCTTTTTATATCCTTCGGGTTTTGAGCTTTTTTTCCAGTAATATACCTGCGGTTTGGAAGTTAACCCAGTCACTGGCTATCACTGCTAATCCTGGGCTGGCTTCTCCGCAATAATGGTCTAGGACTAGGATTCTTCCACTTTGCTAACATTTGAGACTCTCAGCTCTGATTCCGCCTCAGACATTTCTAAAAATATAAAAATAAAATATATATATTTTTTTAAATTAAAAAATAAAATTAGTCTGGTTTAGCGCCAGTCATGACCTCTGGCCCAAGGGTGATATTATTTAATTAGAACTGGAATGATGGATCATTAGCATCGCGTGCTTTGAGTTTCACATAAATATTGATCATATAACCACTACCCCCCCTTTTAGAAATTTTTCCATTAGCTTCTGAAGCGTATAATTGTTTGGCCAATTGAGGCACTCACCGAGAGTTCAAATGCCAACCCGGGTCTATTAATATTATTATGATCTTTAGTATAGATTCCACTACCAATTAAAATATTTTTTTTATTTTTATGAATATCTATACCCCTAGATCGAAAAAATTCCATTCCATTTCAAAATTCTGCGGGAGGAAAGGTTCTCAAGGGAATGATATAAGATTCATAATAATAATAATAATAATAATAATACGGGCGTATTCACATCGCTGGCATAAAGATTACTAGCATGCATGGCCCATTTTTCATGGCGACACCACCCATATAATATCGATTTAGTCCACAGCCAATGGGGGAGTAGTACCGGGGGTGTACTACTGGGAGTATGTACGTCTCTCTACTGGGAGGGGAGCCCTCAACGGGGCTGGGCAGGCAACCAATTGATATCATAATCGAGAGTTTGGAATCGCGACTACGTAACAATGGAATGTTTAGCAATTCGCATTTGCTTGCATTTCTTGGAACCTAAACCCCAAAGTGGCTATACTACATATAGACACTATATATACATAGTATTCTTAGAAGAACTTCAAGTGGCCACAGTAAAATGTTTATTGAGGGGAACCTTATCGTTTAGTATCGGCACTGGCCTGGCACTTGCCTATTAAGCAGGAAACGAAATGATATCGAAGATATCGATATCAGATAGATATCATAGCACAGAAAAGGGCTCTGGCTAGTAGCTCTTCGAATTACAAACAGAAACACGACTCCTCCAATACTTGTTGGTTTGCAGTTTTTTTTTTAACTTGAATTTTAAGGCCATTAATCACTTTTTATCGAAATTATCGATATGGTTAATAGTTCTTTATAAATTAGGATTTCTCATAGGGTTTATAGTTTATTTCCTCATTAAGTTTACGATTTTTTATATAAATAAAGTTTTTCATTTGAACTTTAAGGCCATTAATCACTTTTTATCGAAATTATCGATATGGTTAATAGTTCTTTATAAATTAGGATTTCTCATAGGGTTTATAGTTTATTTCCTCATTAAGTTTAAGATTTTTTATAAAAATAAAGTTTTTCATTTGAATTTTAAGACCTTTAAGGCCATTTTTTATCGAAATAATCGATATAATTCATATTCTAGGGAACTTTTGTATAGTTTTTAAGAAATAAAGGTTTGTTAAGCCTGGCGAATGATTTTATTTCTCAATATAGTCTCAGATTTCTTAAATAAACACTTTTTGAATAATAAATTTCATGTTATTTGACTCTAGTTATCGAAATTATCGAATATTTATATCCTCTTTGATGTTTTTTTAAAGGTTTTTTATGAATTCGGGTTTCTGTTACAGTTTATTACCTTTTTAAGTCGAAGATTGGTTTAATAAACACGGTTTTTTTATTGATATTTAAATCTGGTTATCGAAGTTATCGAATTTTTATATACTCTATGCAATATTTAAATAATTCTTTATGATTTAAAGTTGCTAACGTCTCTAAAATCATGTTTTTGTCACTCTAAGTATGAGATTTGTTTCAAAAAACCTAGTTTTTAAGTTGAAAGTAAATTTTATTAATGACTTTTTATCGAAATAATCGAATTGTTTTATTCTTTATGCAATATTTGAATAGTTTTTAATAAATTAGAGATTCTAATGTCTCCAAACTCATGATTTTACCCCCTTGAGTATAAGATTTCTGTTAAAAAACATAATCCTATCGCATTTCTTATCGAATTAATCGAATTATTATCCCTATTCCCCCTGTAGAGATTCTCATAAAGAGTCCCCACTGTTTTCCATTCGTTTCGGTCTCCGATAAGAGGCTATTCACGTGGAGACGACTATTTTATAGAAACTTGCGTACGTTTCAATGAGTACAGTATTTACAATCTGGAAGCCGATAAGCGACGGCCTTCAAGAAATGCGAAATCCTAGATACAAGCTCTAGAGACAGACGACAGGTCGGCTTTATCTATTCCCACCATACATACAGAGCCATACATTAATCCCCATTCGAATGAATGACTAATAATAAGATGCCATTGACTCCATCGTTATCAGCTTTCCAGGTTCTGAGAGTGATTCCGAGAGAAGCGTCAACCATTCCCCCGGATTTCCCTTTTTATTTCCGATCAAGATTTCAGTTCATTGAATGAATCACTTGGGCCGACCTGGTAGATAGTCTGGTTAGGGAGGAAGGAGGAGGAGGTTCAACGACAATTCCAGTGGGGGTTACGCGTCTGGGGGGCGTAATGAACTTGGTTAACCGGTCTCTTCCTCCGCCCCCACCAAACTCTCTCTTATATAAACAACACACAAATCGGTTAGATGCAATAATTTCGAACTGCCTGACTGGCTTTTGTTTATTTTTTAAAATTTTTTTTTTTGCAACGCTCTAGTGATTGCAACAACAATGGATTTAAACCTTTAAAGTTGAAGATCGAAAGTGTAAACAATGCACTAGATAGATGGTTAGTTGGTTGGTTGGTCATTAATTAAGTTTGAGAATAAAAAATTATAATCATGACTCCATCGGATTAATCTTATCCATAGTTTAGATTTACAAACTACTTCCCAGCCGATAGTCATTGTTACTGGAGAGGTTTCCAAGTGCAGGTAGAATCTAATCGTTTTTAGTACTTGCTCAGCACCTGACTCATTAAACACATCACATAACACTTGAGAAACTGGTTAGAAGGTTCCTTCTAGATCCAAATAGTTCATATACAATATATAGTACTATAAGTTCGCAACCCTTTCAACCCACAACTGTCCATTAATTAGCCTAGAAGTCAATTAAGGTAATACTACACAGGCAGAGGCATTCAATGTCAAAGTCCAACAGGGCAAATGGGAAATCCCTACACTTGAAAAAAAATAAATAAATAAAAACTATTGCAATAATATGCAAATATATAAATCACTTTGATTTTGATTTTTTTTTTTTTATTATTACCAGTTCATTATAATTATTATATATATATATTTATATTCCCGGCACGTTTATTTTTATTTTTTTTTTGTAATTTTCCTCTCGTGCTTCGAACTCCGAAGACGGTCGCCGGTACACTAAGCTCCATTAAAAAACTGCCCGAAAGCACAACCACCTACCTACACCACCTCCCCATAATAATAATAATAATAATACCTGTATGTACTTGTGGTCTAGGGTCTCTCTCTATATATATATATATGTGTATATGATTGTGTTTGTGACTTCGGTGTCGCCGTCATAATAATAAATTAAATACGTTATCAAGTGTAGAACGCAATCAGTACCAACACCGCCAGTGCTATACACTAAGCGCAGAGCCACCCAACCGCCCATCCACCCACTCACCCACCGCAGATCTTCCACATTGGAGTACCAAGAACCCTGCCTGATAATGGCTACTTCTATCACTTCTCACAAGTGACGTTGAAAAAGAACTTTAAAGAATTATTATTTTTATATCAGAAACAAGTCTTATCAGAGTCTTATATAATATAGTATATATAATATATATATATTGAATCATAGTCCCCAAGTCCATGTCCGAGTGCAGGGTCTACTGGGGTGGTGGTGACTAATGTCCGAGCATGTGCACTCATCGAGCACTCATCATATGGACATTTAAGAAAGTGTCGTCATGGATAAGATATCCTGTCTATATACCAATGATTATATAATCAATAGTCCTGTTGTCTGCCATTCCAGGCCAGATTCTAGAGCACTTTCCGAGAGCTAATATAGGTGGAGGAGTAGGGCTATAGTGCTTATCAGACTGGGTTGAGCAAACACCGACGGCCAACCCACATCGCTATATAGCTATAGCTATATCTGTGCATCCGCCGCTGCCTCTATATATGTATATGTATATGTATATGTATCTGTATCTGTTAGTAGATAAGCGCCGGCAGAGCTCGCAATCAGTTTAATGTCCCCTCCTCCCAAAAAAAAAAACAAAAAAAAATAAAAACAAAAATTAAATATTAAGTCGCACTGTCCACACATTAAAGTAATAAAAATGAATCATTAAAGTTTTATATGTTTTTCATATAATTACTAATTAATTACTAACTAATTACTAATCAAAACTTAATCATAATTGTTTCTTTTTTTTGTAGATTTTTGTTTTATTTTTAAGGTTTTTTTTTTCTTCTTGTTAGCCAAGATGTTTACCAAAAGATACAAAGATACAATGTTTCTTTTTTCGAACACATTGTGTGACTTTCGAGAACAAACATCCTGTAATATGATGTTGACTTTTCCTTTCATTTTTCTTTTATTTTCTTTTCTTTTGTGTGGCAACTGTACCGCCATCTAGGGAGTGTCTGACCAAAAAAAGGGGTCATTTGGGGAAACCCTTGCCCAAGGACATTAGCCCACTGGCTATGAATGTTAAATGCAGTCGAAAGTCACGAGATTCCCGGGTAACTTTCCAAGTTAACAGGTCACAATTGTCGACCCACACACGGGAAAAGTAATATAAAAAAAAAAAACAGAAAAAGAAAGAAAAAAAACAAACCAACAATGGAAAACAAACACGCGATCTTTGCTCAAAAAAATATACAGTGATGGGTAGAGAGATAGATACTTTCACTTTTTTTAGAAGTGGGTTTTGGGTGGAAATTGGGGAATTCTTTTTGAAGCCAAGGGAGGTCTATTAGGGTATAGTTTATAGGAATAATAAAAATAATAATAGACAAAATAATAGAATACTATTTATACCCAAAACTAGTTAGTTTTTATTTTTAATTTTCAACAACAACGAGTTTTAACCTGAACTTAAACCTGATCTTGAAAAAAGGTCTACAAATACTTTAATATTTTAATATTTTTATACTAATAAGTAAGATCTTTCATGATTAAACAAGAACCATTATTAACCTTAATGAAAACGAACATTATTAAACAAGAATCAACATGATTTAAGAAGAACCTAAAAGAAAGGAGGGGAAGAGACCAAAATTAATACTGAAAACTATGCCGTTCTTAAGAAAATATTACAAAAAAAAATATGTTTTTAAGAAAGTAAACTATTTTTTAATTTAAAAAAAGCTTAAGGTCTTTAGTTGCTATAACTAAACTGTAAAGACTCGCGCAATTTAAATTAAGCGTAAATTCTTTAATAATATATAGAAAATTTGAAAAAGATCGGCTATATATTTAATTTTGTAATTATTCAATTCAAAAGATATAATTTAAAGAAACATTACAGTAATTTAACTTAAAAAGAGCAACTTAAGAGCAAATTTGTATAAAATATAGTAGATTTTGTACTAATTTCTTTTAAAAAATACAACTAATGAAGTTTCAAACCATAAATATATAGTTTTTTTTATTATGCTTTATATATAATAAAAAAAAAACAATTTTTTAATTTAAAAACCAACTATTTGCGATCTAACAACAAAGATCTACCCCCTCAGATCAAAGAAATTTCAAAAAATAACCCCAATTTCCATATAGTACCTCTACCTAAGTACAAGATCATTGACAAAATTTTTTGGCTGACCTTAGTGCGGTGACCTCCACTGTTCGAATCAGACAATGCGAGGCAGGACAACAACAACAACAATAACAATCGGCGACACACAACCAAAATGTGCTAATGGGCAGACCAAGGGCGTAGACAAACCAAAAGGTGGTGGGGTGGGGGTGGGGTTTGGGGTGGTGCGTTAACTGGATTTGTTCGATCCACTTACCATGCTCTCCATGCCAGCCGGGAGTGGGAGGAAGGAAGTGGAAGTGCCAGCAGGAGGGGGGGAGAAGAGGAGAAGGAAGTTGCCTGTTTTTCCTTCTTGGGCTTCTCTCTCACTTGCTCTCTCTCTCTCTCTGTTTTCCTTGTTCCCTTTTGGGCCGTTGGGTGTGCCGCTGCTGCCGCGAAAATTATACAAACTCGTGTAAACAATTGAAGATATAGAAGATATATATCGATGACGCGGTCTCAAGATGCGTTCGTCGCTCTCTTTCAATCTTGCCGCTCTCCCGCGTGTTACCACCAGCACTCTCTCTCTCTGGCTCTCTCGCCCGTGTGTGAGATGGGGTTCCTTTGGGCCAGGGTGATACTCTTCTTGTTGCCAGCGGCGCCGATTTGTTTGGTTTATTTTTGTATTTTTTTTTTCGTATTAGAAATTTTTGTCAATGCTGTTTCGCTCTGTTGTTGTTGTTGTTGTTTGTATCACCGCCACCGCCGCCGCCGCCGCAGTAGCACAGGTTCATTAATATTTGCGATATTTGTATGAAATATACATATATTTATAAATGTAGTGCTTTGCTAATTTTTCCTCATCGGCTCCCCGTTTTTACACTTTTTTTTTTTTTTGGTTTTATGTTCACCTCTCTTCACCGGTTGACCGCTCTTGCCAATTTCGGAGAGCGTACTTTGCACCAGCAGTAAAAAAAAAACACTTATATATTTTTTCAGAATATCAACTAAACACCGACAGATCGTTGAAAGCACAATGAATTAATGCTGGGAACCAACACAATTTAAACGGCGGCTGAAAATCTATCGATTTTCCCACACGGCTATTTCCTTGTAGACGCTTTTTTTTTTTTTTATTGCAATTTTTCACTATGCGTCGCGTGTATGACTGGCTGTGTGTGTGTGGGTGATTAATGTAAGTGTGAGGCGGTTGGTAATCAAAAAAAAAATAATAATAATGCAATTGCCAATTCACTTTGAGGACTGGGCGTTTGCGGTGTCGTTGATACGCGCGCACATCATGGCTTAGAATGCAGAATCAGCCCCAAGCGATTGACCGTTACAACGTTTTTGTCGACTTTTTCTGATTAATATTTTAACCGCTGCTGCCCCGCAATGTGGCCAGTTGGCGCTCAATTTTGTTCTTAGCGCGTTACTTATCGATAATTAGTATTGGTTAATTTTTAATCGAAAATCGATAATAGTATTTTTAAGATATAGAAACAGATTTAAAAAGAAGCGCCACAAAAATATATCTATTTCCCAGAAAATCAGAAAAGAAATTTTTTACAAATATATGACTACCCTCGCAAAACGCTCACTTACCAATCGTAGCTAAGCGTCATTAAGGACATATCGTTTTATTTAAAATTTACATTTCGTATTTTATATATATTCTTTCTTGTACTCTCTGGTTTGTGAAAACCAGAAAAACATTTTTGTTTGCGTGTGAGTTTTCTTAAATTTAGGTTTCTCGACACCAGAAGATCATAATTTTGAGGGCGGGGCTTTTGTGGCAAAGGTTACAAAGAAATATTTCTTGTTTTGTTTTTTTTCTGGGAATTTTTTTTCACAATTTTGTCGCCAATGTATTAGGCTAATAAATATATTTATACATTATTTAACTTTTAAATTGTTTTTTTTTGCAAGTTTTTTTTTGTTGTTTTTTGTAGTTTTTTACCTTTTTATAGTGTGTATGTATCATAATGGTCATAAGGCAAGGCATGCCCATCGTTTGTCTTAGAATGTGAGTTTTAAATTGCGATTAAAAGATAAGACTCTGACTTAAAGGGTGTGACGATTAAATATGAAATATAAAAAAAAAAAATTAAGGTATTAAAATTAGAAAGTTTTTGTTTGTTAAAATTAGATTATTCAAGAAATGTATGTGTGTTTACTTTTAGCTGCTACGGCTGCTTATTACTCTCTTGTTCCTGCTCATCTGTATACCAGCTGGATACCAGCCATCTATGTATCCGACTTCCACAACTTGATGGTCTTGTCGTTCTCAAGCGCCGCCGAGGCGATGATGTTCTCCGTGGGATGGCAGGCGGTGCACAGAACGGTGTCTGTGTGTCCCTGTAGCTTCTGCACAACCTCCTTGCTTTGCAGATTCCAAATGTATACCATACAGTCCTCACTACCGCTCACAATCCACTGAAAACGGCATGTTAGGCTAAGCTAGAAAAAGAAAGTTAAGTTTCTTCAATCACTTACCTTTCCACCCGTAACCGAAAAGTTGGCAAAGATGCAGTACTTTTCGTTCTTGTGTCCAGTATACGTCTTCAGGCACTTGCCCTTGGAGTAGTCCCACAGCTTCAGGGTGTTGTCCAGCGTGGCCGCCAGGATGTACTTGCCGTTGGGCGAGAATTTGACGAAACTAACTGGCGGATTGTCGTCGTCGATGAGGGTCTTCAGGCACTGCCCACTGGCGGTATCCCAGATACGGCACAAACCATCGTAGCTGCTGCTCACAATCAGTGAGCCATCTCGATTGAAGTGCACCGCGGACACTGGATCAGAGTGGGCGGGGAGGGTCTTCAGGCATTTGCCCGTCCGTACATCCCAGATTCGGACGCTCTCATCAAAGCTGCCCGAAACGATAAGGTTCGATTGCGGATTGAAATTGCAGCAGAAGACGTAATTGCTGTGACCCTTTAAAGTCTTCAGACTTTTGCCAGTGCTCAGCTCCCAGACTTTCAGGGTTTTATCATCACTACCGCTAACCAGTAGGCGGGAATCCGAGCTCCAGGCTACATCGCTGATGCCCAGTTTGTGACCCGAAATGGTCTTCTCAAATTTGCCATCGTAAGCGCCCCAGATTTTGATCAGTTTATCAGCAGCTAGAAGTAATTGTGATTATTTTAACTGCATATAAGCACATTTACTGGCTACTTACATGAACTGGCAAGCCACTCGCCGTTGGGACTGAACTTGACTGCCGACACCGCCTTTGTGTGCCCGGCAAGGGTGAACTTGAGCATATAGTTGGGCTTCACCGACAGAGATCCCTTGTTGGACGACGCACTGGTGTTGGCATTTGTGTTGACACCAGCAGCTACCGAGCTTGGCTGCAATGTATTGGGACCGGTGGGCGCCGTGGGCATTGGCTGCGGCGGTGGATGCACCACGCCGGGATGGCCGCCATGCACGGCTCCAATTGGCACCATCGTCTTCTATTTGCCTTTAAACTTCTAAAGATTACAAATTATGTTTGATGGCTCCAATTTTGGTGATTTTCTTGCAAAAAAAAATTTCACCCTTTCCGCGCCGCACACGTGCTTCTTCTTCTTCCGGCCGGAGGAACGCTAATGGCGATATCCTGGCCGATAGGATTAGATTATTGGCTTGATTTATTTTAATTGTTATGCCTTCGATACGTTTGGCACCGCCTAAGCTGATCGGTTTGTTTGGTTTGGTGTATTTAGGGGGCTCGCGTTTCTTGCCACACGTGAAAATAAAATAAATTGCAGTAAAAGTGTGACCGTTTGGGCGCGGTGGTTAAAATCCAGACACGCGTGTCCACCACGCTAATGAGACCGTTACGGACGTGGCGTTGAAATACCACGACCCGTAATGGATTTCAAAATTATAAAAACTTATTAAATCAATTTTAAATAGTTTTTGGAATTATTTTCTAAAGCTTTTCAAGTTTTCTAGTAGCTATTCGATAGAAGCTCTTCTTAAAAGCCATTTTGTTGTTTTCTGAACTGGAGTTTAGGGTCGATAGTCGACGGTATGTTTGAATAAAATGATTAATGATTATATAAAATGACATTTTCAAATATAATTCTTTAAAAAAATGATGTTATTTATAAAATTTAAAATTTTTAAATATAAAAAAGCTTGAAAAGTTTAATACTTTAAGATTTCTGACTGCAGCGCCTACGGGCACACAGTCAAAATAAAATAACAACCCCAAGGAAAAATAAAAACATTCCCCCAACTGGACGTCAAAATTAAACAGCATCAGCTGGTACAGGACCACGGGCCCAAGGATACAACCGCAAGGATGAACGGTCTACCACCGAGTAAGCACTACAATCTGACGCACTACCAGCAGCGCTATAACTGGGACTGCGGCTTATCCTGTATCATTATGGTCCTGGGAACACAGCAGCGTGAGGAGTTCCTCAACAATTTCGAGACTGTGTGTAATGACGAGGGCTTCGGATCAAGCACCTGGACAATTGACCTATGCTACCTGCTGCTACGCTACCAGGTGCGCCACGAATACTTCACCCAAACACTGGGCATCGATCCGAACTACGCCCAGCACACCTACTACTCCAAGATCATTGACAAGGACGAGCGTCGCGTCACGCGCAAGTTCAAGGACGCCCGGGCGCATGGCCTTCGGGTAGAACAGCGCACAGTCGGCATGGAGGTCATCCTGCGTCATTTGGCTCGTCACGGTCCGGTTATCCTCCTGACCAATGCCTCCTTGCTGACATGTGAAGTATGCAAGCGTAATGTCCTGGAAAAGTTCGGGTAAGCTTTAGTTTTTTTTGTTGTATCCTAACCTCCATCCTCATGCATGCCATAACTCCTAATCCCTGACTCCTGTCCACGACATGTTTCCTTGAAAAAAAAAGCTGTTTTCATATAAATTGTATTGCCCGAAACACACGCTTGCCGGATCCAAATAAAAGCTATGCTGGTCACTATGTGGTCTTGTGTGGCTACGACATGGCCGCCCAGAAGCTCTTCTACCACAACCCCGAGGTCCATGACGGCCGTGAGTATTGGAATAGCCCTAACCCCTCAACCTCATTGATTTTAATATAATTTCTCTTCTGGCAGACATCTGTCGCTGTCTGGTGGAATCTATGGACACGGCCAGGCGTGCTTACGGCACCGACGAGGACATCATCTTCATCTATGAGAAAAAGGCGCCCACAACCGATTAAACTGAAGAAGCAATTATAACAGGAGCTGGTCTAGCCAGGGCTCCCAGCAATATATATAGTACCTGCCGTCGCCAGGTTGCCAGAGAAGGATAACCAGAGGAATGGAATCTGCGCTTTGTGATATTAGTTTGTTAGATGGTGTTAGAGAGGCGGGTGTCGATGGAATGGGAATGCGGTTGAGAACTGCTTGCTGCTTGGTTAACTTTGGCACAACAGTGTACTTTATTAAGGTATTGCTAGCAGTTGGTCCCCATTAAAAAAAAACACAAAAACGACAATTACAAACGACTTATATAAAGCAGCCAGGCAGCTTTCCAAATTGGAGAAGGTCGATCGATTTTATCATTAGGTTTTACTTTTGTCTGGAAGGGCAAAGGGTTTTTTTTTTTATAAAAATGCCAAATTTAAATGTATTTTATTATTCATTCAAAATTATTGTCCTTTAATGTTCCAAAATATGTGTTCAATGGTTATTAGACTGAAAGTTAAATTATTAACCAAAACAGACGGACGGACAATCCTGTATCAATTCCATTGGTTTAGTTTTGGATCTCTCCTTCCGCCGTATTAAAATTTTTGTTTTTTTTTTTCGAATCGACCCACCCTTGACTACTACATTCCAATAAGATTATGCGTAAAATATACATTATGTTCTGTATGTAGAAAATACAAAAGATTATTGTTCCAACCAGAGTGCAGTCGTGGTGTCTCTTTACTGGGCCTGCTCCCGGTCCTTATCCTCGTTACAGATTCGTTTGTAGAGCAGCTGTAGCTTGATGTGCGGCGCCTCTACCGGCAGGATTATCTTTCCATCCGCATCCGTATACTTGTCATATGGCTGTTCAGCGAAGACCTCGAATCCGTGTGAACGGAATATCTTCTGCGAGAAGATCCCTGTGGCGTCGGCTTTGAGGAGACGGAAGCCGTTCTTCTTGGCCACCGCCAGGGACTGACGGACCAGCTCGTTGGCTATGCCCTGGCCCCTGTATCCGGAGTCCACGGACAGGATTCGAACATCAAACATGGCATCTACATTAAAGTGTTCGAAGAGATTGTTCTTGAGGTTGTGCCGGTGCAGTAGCTCAAAGATCTTCCGGAAATCCGCATCGCAGCTCTCTTCCAGCTTCTCCAATGCCTTGGCCGTGTCGCCTGACCGCAGGATACCATTTAGGACCACTCCGGCAATCTTGCATTTACCTTCCTGGGCTGCTTTCCCGTCCACGGCCATCAGACTCATACGATCCTGTAGGGCCTCCAGGCAATGATCCTCTAGCTCGGGATTACTGCATCCATTCTGGCACAGTCCAGCGGCCTTGTTGAGCGGTTCGTCGGCAAAGAAGCTTTTGCGGAGGTGCTCCAGGACCTGTTTGTAGTGCTCGGGACCAATCAGCTTGTACTCCATGGTGGCGTTGCAGCTTTCCGAAGCGTTTCTAATAATGGAGTGGTATTTTAATGAGGGCTGAAAGCGATTAAAGAAAAGGGGGTAAAGGTATTATTTAAGGAAATATTAAAATATTATATTTTTTTTTAGGATTTTATTTAGATTGAAAAGAGTATGAGCCAGATTTTAAGGCCTTAAGACATTTATTTGCCTTAAAATTATGGTAATTACTAAATTTTTAATGATTATTTTAATGTTTTAATGAGAATTATTAAAAAACAAAGCCATAATTAAAAAATATAACTCAAAACCGCCTGTTGCTTCATCAAGTTCAAGAATATTAAGTCTAAAACTTATTAAAAGTTATTTTAATTGATTTTTAATGCCATTTATTCAAGGCAACTTTAATTAAAAACTAATTAAAAATTATAATAAATAATAAAATTAAAAATTCGATATAAAAAGAACAAATTTCCATAGCAGGAGTGAAGCTTCCTAAACAGGCCACTCTTATATATATTTTTTTTCTTCTGTAACTCAATTAGGAAAACAGCAACCTGCTACGCTGCTCCCTGCTCCTTTCTCCTTGCTCGCTTTCACTTACTTTCACTTTAACTGCACTCACACACACACTCTCACACGCACTTACCCCTTGTGATGATGGCCTAATGACACGCCCCCTTGACACACCTACCCGGGGACACACCACACTCTGCCCCACCGCGACCCACCACCACCCACTTAATCCGCGTGAAATGACAAAGGTTATAAGGACATAAAACCCCTGTCATATATCGACAACAATCGTCGTTTCTGGTTATAGTTTAGTGGAACACTTACTCCGGAGATTATGGATGAGCTGGTGGCCAGGCGTGTATAGATGTTAGATGTTGGGATTCGGCAACAGGCACCACCAAGGATTGTTTGTTTTCCTGGAAAAAAATGTGTAACCTACTTGCGGGCGCTGCCAGATGCGAACTGCGACTGGAGAACAAAAAGCGGCGACACAGGCTCCAGGCAGCAGGACCAGCATCCCAGTTTATACACTCAGAGAAATACAATTTATTAAAATATTAAAAATATAAATTATTTTTAAGCTTTACTGTTGAAGTTACAACTATTTAGGCCTTCAAAATATTAGTAACTTGATATATTTTTAAATAAAACTCAAAGTATTTTTTTCAGTGTACAGCCTCGTGTATCCTCCCAGCCGAAGCATGAGAAAAATGCTGCCGTTTCTGGTTTGAGGGCAACAATGAAAGGAAGTTGAGTGGCAAATGCCGCCCCATGAACACAGTGCGTATACGCAATATACACACACACACGTACACATACCAACTCGACATACACTAATACCACAGAAAAGAGTGTATGTGTGTGTTTAAGCGATTGCCTGGCAGTGACTTATGCCAAATACCAGATACCAAATGCCAATACTCTCGCACAATTGCTGGCACAGTAAAAATCAAGAGTTTTTCCCCCCAAAACGGAAAATTTTCCTCCCCCACAGTGAATTTTCCTTTGTTGTCCTGACGGACCAACTGTTGATTCCAACATTGTGAGGTTAGATTCGGCGTACAGGACACTGTAAGCAAAGTGGTTTAAGGGTTTTAATAAATAATTAAATAATAATAAAATTAAGCTTTAAGATAGGTCTTAAAATTATGGATAAAATATTTTTAAGAGAGAGAAATATATTTATAAATTATATACAATTTTTTTCAAGTGCCTTGTTCACCCACACTTGTGCAGATTTTGACTTTTGGCATAACTTACTCAACGACCAGGACGTGCCCGTTTCAAAAAATAAAAGAAGGGAGACTCCTTCGACAAATTATATTAATATATATGTATATGTGTTATTCATACATGCTTTATATTATGCATGTATAATGGTATGGTATCTCTTTTATGTTTATTTTTTAGAAAAGTATGTAAGGGTCTCACAAAGACTTTTAAGGTCTAATATTTATTGTTATTTATAAGCTAGTTAGTCACGTTCTGTCTATAAAGACTTCCTTTTATGAATAAACATAAAAATTTCGAAATTTTAACTGCACTTTTAATATATAAAGACCTGGAATTAATTTATAGCCTAAATGGCCTTGGTACATTTTTTAGTGTCTAGACAACTAAACTCTTATTGTTGTTGCTTGATAAAAATACAGAAAAAAAATGAAGCCTATTGGGATTCCGACCTTCCACCTCGGGTGTCTCACCCCATGGCATGCATACTCATTATTTTAATTAATAACCGTACTTGGTGGCCACTGGGCTGTGGCCATATATGGGGTGGACACGTGCCTCTAGCTACGCAATGGGAGGTAAGCTGACTTTTGGGAAATAAAAAAAATATACGAAAAAAAATTGGCTGTAAAGAATTACAACAAAAAATATGACACTAAAAAAAATTACAACAAAAATTACAACAACAAAAAATTACAACAAAAAAAAAATTACAACAAAAAAAAATTACAACAAAAAAAAATTTACAACAAAAAAAAAATTACAACAAAAAAAAATTACAACAACAAATTACAACAACAAATTACAACAACAACAAATTACAACAACAACAAATTACAACAACAACAAATTACAACAACAACAAATTACAACAACAACAAATTACAACAACAACAAATCACAATAACAACAAATCACAATAACAACAAATTACTACAACAACAACAAATTACAAAAACACCAACAAACTACAATAACAACAAGGCCATAAAACAACCCATTTGATGTCTACAAACATTACAACAAAAATGGCAATAATTAAAGAATTACAACAATAAAAAACCAATTACAAAAAAAACAACAAAAATTAAAACAATTAATTAATTATTTTTCCGATTTTTCAGGGCTGCTTAAGTGCAACCTATGAGAATCGAGGAGGAGGGCGCTGTTTATTAAAAATTACAACAACAAAAATCACAACAAAAATCACAGAAAAAATCGCGATAAAAATCACAATAAAAATCACAACAAAAATCACACAAAAAAAAAACTAATTTTCCGACTTTTCAGGCCTGCTTAAGTGCAACCTATGAGAATCGAGGAGGAGGGCGCTGTTTTTTTAAAAAATTATTTTTAATATTTTAATGAATTTCCACCAAATTAAAGCTTATTTTTTTATGTTATTATATGCAAAATAACGGTAAAATTTCCCTCTTTAAGGCCATTAGACTCCCTATGGCCCTTAAAAGTAGGCAACGAAATAATTCATGTTTACATTTTCAGAATTATAATTTATAAAAAAACATGTTTTCCTTTGAAATTTATACAAGATTTTTGTTGTTGTACAAACTTCATAAGCTTATATACCCTGGAGTCCATATGCCGGGTTATATAGTGCAGTTATATAAAAGATATAATAAAAATAAAACATGCCACATGACGACACAAGACGCATATTTAAATTGCGTGACACCGCCCTGTGGGGGAAATGTGAGACCCATATGCCCCGGATTCGAGGGTCCCGCAAAGGTATTTCAAAGTCAGTGTCGCAGTTGGACGCGTGTGGCAGCTCTATTGTCCAAAAAAAGAATAATAATAAAATAGGAAACAAAGATTGTTGTGCGTTATTGTTGGCAATCACCATCAATTGAACTCAATCTCAATCAACCGCTAAACTATCGATCTTTTTTTTCGTTTGTCGATTAAACTGACCTTGAATGGACTGCGACAGGATCTAAGGATTATCCTTGCCGATATTCTTCGATATCCAACAACATAGTTCCAGGAAGTTGTCATAACATTTGGGAATTTTACAAAAAATAATTATTGACAGAGTTTTCCAAGTGAATTGAAAGTATATATCATTTAAAATACCATATTATTTTGGTTCTTTGTCTGTAATGAGGTCATGCGTGACCCTTAATTGTGGCTTTAAAAGATAAAGGGTTTTTAACTAATTGGCTTTAATTTATGCAGGTTTTTTATCTCATTTTTTATCTCTCATTTCAAGAGTTTAATTTATTTATGTTTTCCTAATCCAATTAAAAGGTAATACTTGAGTGTTCAGAAAGTTTTCAATTGGTTGTTGGATAGAATATAGAATCTGAGATCATTTTGTAGCGGGGGTTTTATTGAGATATATAGACCTTTGAAGTACTTATTAGTTGTGGTTTGAATAATTGCTAAAAATATATATTACATTTGTAGCATTTGTTTATCAAAAGAAAGCTTATAGTATTTTTTAAAGAATTGTTTGAGTTAAAGGCTTTATAGAGTTTTTTTTACCGACTTATAAAAATATATACCATTAATTATAGACCCTTCAGTCTCTAATTATATCTCTTTAAATACCAACCTCACCCCAACCCTTATCTATATATCCCTTATAGCCCTTAGATATATCTACTCTATTAGATCTATAATTTAGTAATACCCTGTATAAAAACATATATACCCACAGCTGTTCCGGATCAGCTGAGTGACTCGCGACGAATCGAAACGAATCAGCCAGCTCTTCATCCATCACCCGAATATAAACGCCCCGAGTCCCCTCCCATCCGAGACCCAATCCGATCCAAACAGTATATATGTTTTTGAAGATTCGTTGGCCCAGTTTGTTGTCGTGTTGTCGCCGCCACAGGTCGTTGTTTTCGCGTCGTCTTCATCGAGTCGTGTTGTCTAAAATTGTATCTCCCCCTAGTGTCGCATATATAGTAGATATATAGATTTAGTAAATATTTTGTTGTTGTTATTTATAGTTTCGACTCGGTTGGCGTGGTCTCTGTTGTATTTATAATTTTTTTTTTTTAAGAATTTTTTGTTTTTGATTGTTTAGTGGCTGTTTTTTTTTTTTTAAATTAAAATGGCAGCTAAAGATCGCCTGCCCATATTTCCCTCAAGGGGGTGAGTAGTATTATACCTAATAGAGGATCCTTTAATTATTGGATTTATATTAGAGCTCAAACATTGATGAAATCCCGTCTGGCTGGTGCCACCAAGGGGCATGGCCTCCTTAAAAAAAAGGCCGATGCTTTGCAAATGCGTTTTCGTTTAATTTTGGGAAAAATTATCGAGGTGAGCTTTTATGAAAAAAATATATATTTTTAAATTACATCTAATAGATGGTGCTTTTTTAGACCAAAACCCTAATGGGGCAGGTCATGAAGGAGGCTGCCTTTTCGCTCGCCGAGGTCAAGTTCACCACCGGCGACATCAATCAGATTGTTCTGCAGAATGTGACCAAAGCCCAAATTAAAATCCGCACCAAAAAGGATAATGTGGCCGGGGTTACGTTACCGATTTTCGAACCATATACCGATGGTGTGGATACCTATGAGCTGGCCGGCCTGGCCCGTGGTGGTCAACAGTTGGCCAAGTTGAAGAGAAACTACCAAAGTGCTGTGAGGCTTCTGGTCGAGCTGGCTTCGCTCCAGACCTCCTTCGTGACCCTCGACGATGTGATCAAGGTCACCAATCGTAGGGTCAATGCTATAGAGCATGGTAATAGATTAAAAATCCTAAATACTCTTCCTTAAATATTAATCATTTTACTCTCTAAATAGTCATCATACCAAGGATAAACCGGACTATTGAGTACATCATCAGTGAGCTGGATGAACTGGAACGTGAGGAGTTCTATAGGCTAAAGAAGATCCAGGATAAGAAGCGAGAGGCACGAAAGCTGGCCGATCGGAAACGTGAGGAACAGAGGCGTTTGGGCCAAGTCACGGAAACCCAGGAAGTTCAGAATATCCTTGACGAGGACGGTGATGAGGATCTGCTTTTTTAAAATACCCACAAACCAACATTACCCAACATTGCTACCTCTGACCTCTGACCTTTGTATTACACCTATCCTACATTACTCTTCCACCCACTGTCTTTGTTATTTGTCGTTTCGGTTTCAATTTGTGATCCGGATGTTGGAAATAGAATCCATAACCTTTATGTGATCGCTGTCTTGTGTCGTCAAATGTGTTTTTTATTTAATTTTTTCTAGATCTGTGGTTTCAATTGTCAAGCATGTCTAAGTGTGATTTGTGTACACTGGGAGAAAGAAATATAGTCTGAAGATTAGGTATAAGTGGGCCAGGAATTTCATCTTCATAGATGAATATTATATCTCTAAGATAGCTATAAATGTTTCAGGGCTTATAATTTATTCGATTTTTAAAGTATTTCGAAAAAGATTATCAATATTCATATAATTCTGTTTATCATCGCCAATCAAGTGACTTAATTTGGTAATAATTGATATCATTCAATTAGATTGATTGAAAAAAGAAAAGCAATTAGTGTGGCATGCTTTCTATGTGATTTTATAAGACGTAAGGTCACACTAACCATGTGATTTGTAAAAGAAATATTCACAATAGCTAAACAATAAGAGTATATGATTCTCCCACCTTTTTGATAGCTTTCCCCCCCAAAATCGTTATGGCTTTGGTTGATGGGCCATTAAAACGCCCATTTAAGCCGCTTAAGGCCTTAATTGCCAATTCCCCGATACCGAATCGAGATTCTCCACGACAGGCGGCACGTGCCGTTTCGTAGCCACAAACATTATCGTGTTATCATTTTGATTATGATTTTTGCAACCACAGAACCTGATCTTAATCCGGCTGATGGGAGAAAAAGATACATAAATATATAACCGATGAGGTTTAGCATACAAAATCATGTTTATTCAATTTCCATTTAGCCTTATACACGTAATAGTTTGCCATTTACCAAGGTGTTCTGTGTGTTCAGTGTGTTTGTTCTGGTTTTCATAGATACTTTTAGTTTCATTGATTAAATTCGGCTTGCATTCTTAGTTGAAGAAAATTGCTTAAAGCGTTAAAATTCGAAAAATTAATACAAATTAAAATATAAAATATACAGAGTTTCACACACACATAATATGTACATATACATTCCATTGAAAATGCACAGTAAGCTTAAAAAATATGTGAATATTGATCACTGATCACTAATCAGTTGATTATGATACGTTCTTCTTTTTTTTTTTATAAATCGTTCCATTCCAAGTGCTTTGTACTCTCTTTGCCTGTGTATACAAATATTTCCCTATATATATCCCATGTATATCCAATATACGATCTATATTCCGACATTTCTATCAGGTTTCTTGTCATTTCTTGTATTTTTTTCTTCTTTTTTTTTTTTGTGTAAATACCATGTTTGTAAATATGCATTTTTTTTTATGTAAATAACTTTCACATATATATGTATGAATATTGAGCTTAATTTATACCAAAAAAAAAATACACTTTTTTAACATTTACTCCATCCTGAACTTGAGGTTCAATTCAATAATTTTATACATTTTTTATGCAAAAAAAAAAAGTTATGATGTGTTTTTGAAATATAAAAAAATACTCATTTATTGTGTATGTATTCCTAGAGAGGCAAAATATATGCCGCTGCGTACAAAAAAAAAGTGCCCACTTCCAGCTTTTTAGTTTAGTTTTTTTTTTAGTACAGTTGTGCCCTTGGATGCTAAGCTGGGCATGCTACTCTCTCTCTCCGAGCGAAGAGAGGATAGCAAGATGCATGTAGTTGTAGTGGAAGTGAGACAAATAGCACTAGCACTTCTTTTATTTTTTGAGGTTAGGCTTTCGGCGTTCGATGATTTTTAGTGATCGCCTTGGCTTTAGCTTTCGATTTTGTTATCGTGGATATTGTTGTTGCTGTTGTTGTTTTAACGGATGCTGCTGCTGCTGCTACGGTTGCGATTGTAGTTGTTGTTGTAGCTGTTGTAGTGCTTAACGATGTTGTTGTAATGGCTGCCAGCTTTGACGTCGGCGGCAGCTGTGACGTCATAAATATCTGCTGTGACTTTTGAGAGCCTGGCATCACACATTTGTCCTGCAATCGACACGAAGAAAAAGGACACAAACGGAGAGGGAGGGAGAGAGAGAGAAAAGAGAAAAAAAGAAAGAGATATCCAGAAAAAAAAGGAAGCCGCATTTGGTTTTTGTTTTTTTTTTTTTCAGTGTTGGAAAAGGGGCGGAAGATAAACCGGAAAACATATATTTACTTAATGCCTCTGACTGTGTACCCCTTTAGTTTGTTATTTTAGCAATCGTGGCAAAGTTTTCGTTGCAAAACAAAGCGCAGCTAGTAAAAATTCAAGGCAGTGACTGTGAACGTGATTAAACGTGACTGGCAGTGTGACCAGGCTCATAAATCAAACAAATAAATAATAAACAGAGTTTCAATGTTCATTTGTTTCTTTTAATTATTATACAAAATAAAATATGCACATTAAATGTACTTTTAAGCCTTCTTAATAAAATAAAAACTAAAAACATAATAAGTTAAATAATAAAAAGTTTAAGATTAATAGGATACAAAAGTTTCTAAATAACTAAATAAATAAGTTAGCAAAGCGAGTCAGCTTACAAAACGAAAATGGACACACTGGCTGGATGACCAACCGATATGGTCACACTGCGAAGTAATGTACTAAAGTTAAAAGTAGAAGAAGAACATGCCGCACAAGTTTTGCTGGAAAAATTCATCAAGTTTGTAACCGTGTGCTAGTGTTTTATAATATTATTAAAATATTATTATTATTTTCTTTTGTTGTTGTTGGTTTTTTTCTGAAAGTATTTGTGTGTCCAGAACAGAGTGATGCGCTAATAAAGATTTTATTGTCAGCAGATAATAATGGTAATTAATTTTTGGGATTTTCAAATTGATTTGATTTGGTATTTTTTTGGGGATACTAAGCCGGATATATCAGATCTGTCCTAGATGATCTTTTGGGCGGTTTTTTGGGAAATATGTACACAAAAGCTTTATACAAAAGGGTGGAGAATGTTTTTGGAGATTTTTTTTTTGTAGGGTTTAAGGACCTTTTTGTCGATATTTTGAAGAGGAGGGAGATTGAGGCATGGTGGTTTCTAGTGCTGGCTACTGTGGAGTTTTGGTGGCTTTTTTTTTTATTTTTGGCGATAGCTACTTCTACGGCTACAGCTACGTCTACGTCTAGATTTATTTTTTTTTTTGGTTTTGGGCTACTGCTCTGACAACTCAAATACAACTGACTCGGGTGGCACGGATGACGCTGACGGTACTCTAAGTACCTTTTGACCCCGGAAGCAGATGATGTCCATCATCCACTTGGAGCCACGATTTCGGCCCGTTCTCGCCGTCTCCTTGCTATGAATACGAGTCGTTGCCGGATCAGCTTCCGTCTCCTCCAGTTGCCTATCATCCCGCTGCCGATCCCTATCGTTTTCCTTATCCCTATCCTTGATCTTGTCCCGGTCCTTTCTCTGACTGTGGAGGCGTGGCAATAGGCGGTGTCGCTGTTGCGGCTCATGGATCATCACTATACTGGCACTACTGGCCTTTCTGCCATTAAGCCTTTTATTTGGAGGGGATATTCTGATTTGAAAGTGGGAGAGGGCTTTTATTTATGAACAAATTATATATCCTTTTCGGATTTTACCTTTTTCCAGTGGCAGGATTGTCGCCAGGCTGTTGGATAACCGCATCCGTATCCGGGGCTGTATTGTAGGCTCCGGAATACATGGATGCCCGTTTGGGCACCCATTCCGGATGGCCACGCACGGACATTTGAGTGGCCAGGCTCTTTAGTAAAACAGCACGAACCTTAAAAAAAAAATAAAAATAATTAAAGAAGACTTAAGACTAGTTTCGAGCTCTAGAGTCTAGAACTCACCTCTCCATTGAGAAAACAATAGATGAGCGCTATAAAGAATCCTTGAAAGGATGTGAGAAAGTGCGTTCCATAGGACCAGACTGCAAAGTTCGTGGCCGTTTTCAAAGGAGCCAGTTGGTGGAGAAGATTGGTAATACCCAATAAAGGCAACAGGACAATGGCGGCCCGAACCGCCTTTCTGGTTTGTTCAATATCACTGGCCTGCGACTGTCTCAGCTTCACCACCAGGACTCTTATGATATTAACCAGAAAACAAAAATTCAGCTAAAAAAAAAAAGGATAATAACTATTATCATAGATCCTTAAGAGGAATAGATAGTCCTGCATACCAATATGACCGCTAGTCTTGGTCCTTCGAGGATCCAGTAATAGGGCGTTAGATTATAGTTCCACAGACACTCGCCCATCGAGGTGTCCATATACATGACCGTACACCGGGCCCACACAAAGGTCATCAGGATGGGGACACACCAGCCCAGGCGGGAGAAGAATTTGAGGGGAAAGCTGCCCTGAAACACAGCCACGGTGACCATGTTATGGAGGTAGAGTCCTTCGATAAACATCCACATGAACATGGCGGTGCGGGCGTACTCCAGAAGGACGTAAGAGGCTTCACACAAATAGGGCTATGGGGATATAGATGACTTGTAGAGTATAGGCCTAATCGAAGGACTTGGAACCCCTACTCCTACTCACCGTATTCTCTATTGCCGATAGACTCGTATTGGTGGCCGCCTCCTTGTTCCCCCTCCGATACTGATCCAGGTAGAGAGTCAGTCGTACTATCACCTGCAGCACCATGGCGATGAAGAGGTTCTTATGGATCTTGGTCCTGTTGTTCCGCAGCGATCGAAAGGTGCAGAAGATCAGGAGTGAAATGACCAAAGCGAATAGTGAGACCCACAGGCCCACAATCTCCAGGGTGCGAGTTCTTCTGGCAATATCTATATAGATCTATTAGGGATATAATATAACACTTAAAGTCTTTTTAAATAGCTCTTTAATGTAAGTGTCCTTACATCAATGTCCTTGCTGCCCATGGACTGCATCAGGCGTATCACCTCCGGCTTGTAGCACGGCCCGTAATCGGTCCATCCCGCCGGACTCGGTTCCGTGGCATTTGGTCGGCTGCCCCAGCGGCCATCCAGTTCGCATTTTCGATTTGCAAACTCTTCAAAAAAATACAACAACAACAACAACAACAAAATGGATTAAAAGGGCGGACATCACGGTGGACGGACAAGTGCAATTATGGCAATCGAGGGGGTGGAACTGGGACGACCCCGTCCGGGAAAATAAAAAAAAGCCGGACTGTAAACTGAAAACTGAAAACTGACAATTGAAATGAGGCCAGGGTAATAGTGCACTTGAAGAAATACATGAAAGTCTAGTCATATAAATAAATATTAAATACTAACTCTAACTCTGAGATACCCGGTACTTTTCTTAAGAAAACTCTTCTTTAAAAACCCTTTCTTTATTACTTGTTTCTCTCAGTGCCTTTGCATTGGTTATTAAATACGAATTTCCCTTGGAAAGCGCTACTATTAGCGGGTTAACTCATTTTGTGGGGGTCTCATAGCTCTTGTACCTCCCACCCCACCATCCAAACGTAATTAAGCAATCGATTTGTAAGCCTTTTTTTTTTGCCGAGCCGGAGGATCCCTGGCTATGCACCTAGACACGGACTCGCCCGCCTCCCTGGCCCAGTTTCGTCCGGAATGGCCCCCCCCTGAGGGTACTGGCTGGCTGGCATTGGGGCAGGAGTTTGGTTGAATGAACGTGGCGCCGTCATGCATGTAAATATTGACGTCCTTTCAATGAATACGAAATCAAGTAATTGTTTGCCAGGTCAGCACTTGAAGGGATTCGTATCTAATGATCCGTATAATTCATAACCGCCAGTTATACGTTATATATGTTTATTGGCATGGATATTATTCACAGATCTGTTAAGGATATTTGGGGGGACTTACTTCGGGTATCAACACCATGATAGCCGCCGGGACAGTGCATCCGGGCAAGGACACCGGCTGGAGTGGGTGGCCAGCAGAGCAGAGTATCCCAGGTCCAATTACAATAAAGACCTGAAAGGAAATTCATTTTTTCATTTTTATTTTTTAATATTAATTCTATCATTTTTTTCACAAATAATTTCTTAAATTTAATTCCTTATCATAGTACTATTCCGGGAGAACTTCTTGGCGACACTGGAGACGGAAAGTATATTCCGCGAACTATTAACGGCCACCGCCGAAAAGACATTGGGCTCCTCGAAGAATTCCCCTTCTGACAAGGACCTGGACACCGGATGTTGCCTTTCAGGACCTTGCCCAAGAAGTGTGTTGCTTACACTGGCCATGGTTTCAGGTTGAACCGGAAGCTTAAAGACCCGGGCACGCACCAACATTTCCGGTCGACCGCCAGACGGATTCCGCAGCGAGAATCTCATAATCCAACGCAACATATTCGCCATCTTCGCAGTGTCGCGATTTCCAGGGTCCTCTTTTTTCAGGTTTTTAATTATTAGGATGTCCCTATTCCCAATATGATTTTGCGGCTGAACCAATCCTAGCCTGACATTTGATCTTGGAAAGGACTACTTTGTTTTTCTTGAATGTCTTACCTGTTTGTGGCAGGGTATAGTTGGCGAATAATGCCGAACAGTTCTCATAGTTGGTGGCCGTCGACGAGGACAGTGTCATATTCCAATGGGCACTGGCATTCACACCGGCCAGTACCTGATCATCCATCACCGTCGCCTCCAGTGCCATTTTGGCCACGTTTGTCACGCGATCAATGATGACATTCGATTGGCCGGTAGTCTCTGTTGTTGTGGCTAGATCCTGACCCAGACTGGGTACTCGTCTTCCGTCGGTGATTTCGTTAAGCATTTGCGAGGCGGTTGGCTCCACCATGGATTCGGAGGCCAGGGCTGTGCCAGAGGCGGATGCGGATGGGCTGGACTGACGCAGCAAGCGGGTGAGTCGCTGAACGGATACACTTCCGCCGGAATCAAGGATGCTGGACAGTAGCGTCATATTGCCAGTGTCTGCATAATGGTTTCTGGAAAATGAAAATAAAATAAGTTATTATATTAGTGGGAGAGATTTAAGACCAACTAGACCCCCTTGGATTAGTTTATAAACCCACGTCCTTAACAAACTAAGAGTCCTTCATGTTATAAAAGAAAAGAACTCATCAGAAAAGTAAAACTCATCAAAAGAACTATCAGTGAAACTATTTATAGGCCACAATATTAGCATAACACTTGTGTGGTTTTGCTGGGAAATGGAAACTGATACTGCCACCATTTCCGTTTCCGTTTTGAGTTACCCCCCTTCTTCTTGTTATCCTTTCCGTTTTTTTTTTCTCATTCCTCCCCGGTGGGGTCACGATTTAATTGAAAGCTTATCGAACAATGGAAACAGAAATAGAGACATCACCATACACGATGATTCCCCATTGTTTGTGGATATATCTATATTTTTTTCTCCACCATTTGTGGTTCATATATGTAGTGGATGATGACTGGATGACTTCTAATAAGTGAACATTGACTTTATTGGCCTATATTGGCCACCCATCGGTTGGGGATTAAAGGGCCCTATCTGGCCCTATTCGATGATTCAGAAGAATTTCTTTATAAATTTCCAGTAAGTGCCATAAGCTTTTTAAGCTTCAAAAATACTCTCTTCCTGGTATGTCCTTTCAAGTTCAGCTTTTCAATATATTTCCAATAATATTGGCATTATAAATTATTATTTTCTCCTTCAAGCTACGTTTTTTGGTTGAAAGGTGAAAGACTTTCCTTTTATTTGTTGTTCTTGCAACGAAGGACGAAGGATATTTCGTAAACAAGTAGTGGCCAGGAGTAGGGAAAAGATGGACCACTTGCCACAAATATATTTGCGAAGACCTTAAATTTTAAATTCTTAGAAATGCATGCAGGGAAGTCCTTGGCTCCTCAGGGCATGCTGAGTGTCCTGGTCGCAGGACTCGATAATTATGTTGCCTAAGAATAAGTAGACACTTGAAAAAAATACAATAATTCAAGGTTATCTTGAAAGAATTTTAGAAATAAAAAAAATAAACTATTTATTAATTTAAACCTTAAAAGACATTTAAAAAAATTATTAAAAAAATATTGAAAAATCTGTAGTTTTTCTCAGTGTTTAGCCTGCATAATGCAGCTTATTTAGTATGGATATCCTTGGCAAAGCACTCACTTTGCCGATTTTAATCGATACTTATCGGTGCAGCGGCCCGTTTCAGGACGCGTTCGTAATTAAGCCAACTAAGCGCTAAGCCACTCGAAACCTCAACTCACAACCGGGCCGAAACGGGGCTGCGGCAATAGGGCGTGGCAGTAGCTGTGGATTCTAACCAACTGGTTTTTCAGCCGCTGTCTGTATCCCGGCCCCAGTGTCTGCATTATCCTTACCCAGGCCAGGCCTTACCCAGCCAGACGGCAGGCAGGCTCTGATTTGGGTCACTTGGCAGCTTAAATGTTGGCAGTCAGCACCCAACTTGCATAACTTTAAGGCTTGAAGAATTAGATAGAATTTAATAAAATATATAAAGAGTTAATAAGATAAATTTAATATTTTTTAAATGACAAAAAGTCTAAAACCTCTCTCCAGACTTGTCTCTTTGTTGAAGAAATCTTTAAAACCTTCAAAAAATTCCTAAAAAAAATCATAAAAAACAGAGACAATTTTTATGTCCTTGGCATATATATTCCCAATTAATATTTACTCGTTTGTTTACAATTTCGAGCACTGAGGTCATTTTAATAATTAATCAACCTTCTTACTTACAAACACCCAGCCAGGCCAGGCCAGGGCAGGGCAGCCCCGAGACCCGGGTCGGAAAAGGCAATTCAATTATTAACACGCCTCGGAATGCCCCAAATAAGTTGTCAATGCTATCGATATTCTGTAAAGTATTTATATGGATTTAAATACGTAATGCCATACGAAATCAGTGACATCCACTTGAAGCTTCAACTTGAACATCAATGTAGTATATTTTGTATATAAAGGCGTTGGCCCGCGTAATTATAACCAAAATGTAAAAAAAAGAAGGAAATTCAAGAGCTCTCTTCTCCTTCTCGCCATTCATAGAAACCAAAATGCTAACAAAAAGCCCAAAGGGGTCTAGAGGGGGGTCTAGGGGTGCTGTGGGGGAAAATGTGTGGAAAATTGTAAGAAAATGGGGTGAAAATTGGGTAGCCAGAGCTACGAGCCTACTGCCGACATTTGAAAAGTTTTCGCGCTATTTGACAAGCCAGAAGAGACTTTTCACTGCGGCTTTCCTTTCTTTTGTAAGTGCAGCCAAAGAGTTGCCACAAGGACAGTGTAATAAATTTCATTTTTAGTTAAATATATTAAAGAAATATAAAAAATAATAAAATATTAAATAGTTAAAGTTATAGAATAAGAAAAATAAAATTAAAACCAAGGCAAGTTGCTTTAAAAAGTTTGGTATGGTTAGGGGTAGATTCTTCTTTCTCTCTTTATTTTATTTATAATCTTTTTATTTAAATATATCTTAAATATTTCTTAAAATTTATATCTTCAATTTTTGTAATATTTCTTGTTTATTTTATAGTTATGAAACTCACTGTACACTCAATTCAAAGTGGAAACCAATTAAGGACTTAACAAAGGCTTTTTCAATTCAAAGTTTGGCAAATGTTTAAAAAAGAAACTGATTTGAAATGAAAGCCAAAAAATTAAAGAATTTAATGAAACTGTTTAAGTTTAAAATTTAAAGCTTAAATATTATTTTTAAGATATATATTAGAAGAGTGTTAAATAATATTTAAGGCCTTTAAAAAGGCTCTTAATAGAGATCTTTAAAGACTTCAAAGCCCACTTAGTATTATATTTTTTAAAAATGCTTTAATCAACCAAAAAATTAAATAAATAAAAAGAAACAATCTCTTAAAACAGAAACATCTTGAATATCCTTTTCACCTTTTTTTTCCTGACCCTTCCCAAAAAAAAGGGAAGGAAACTTAAAGAAATCTCAGCGGGCGATGTCGATGGTTGGTGGTTTCTATAGTTGGGTGGGTGGAAGGGCGATTGGGTTGGAGCTGGCTTGGGGTGGCTAGGATGGTTACTTTTGTAGTGGCACTGCTGAGGTGGTGCTGAGGTGCCGGGTTGTGCTTTGCTTTTGTCACCGCAGGACATTTGCCGCTTGGCTGAGCCACTGCAGCTGCTTATACAATTTGGCATTGAAACCGTTTGCTTTCCTCGAACCTCGAACCTCGACTGCAGGGCTACTCCACCATGGAATCCATTGGAATCCCTTGGTCGTATCCTCTGAATCCTTGGTTCCTTAGACTTTTGTTTCATTTTTTTTTTGGGGGAAAAATGTCTTGGTCAGGGACACTTGTAATTGAATAACTGAATAACCGCAAGCCTCAAGGACAATAACAGAAGAAAATCCAATGAATAAATATATGCTTCGTTGAATATTATGCTTCGTTCTATAAAGGATATATACATATATTGAAATTTATTGAAATCCATTTGACAGCTGGAAACAGATTTTGACAGGTCGTCAAAAAAAGGTTTCTTTCCCAGAAATCTTTCAGAGAGTCCTCCTGTTGTGAGAGAGTCCTCCTGTTTGTAACTGTTGCATTGGTTTTGCTCAGTTTTTTCCCAGCTTTTCCTGATTTTCTCATGCTTTTCTGTGCTTTTCACTGGTGCTGTTGTGCAATTTGCCAGATTGACACTCCATAAATCAATATCGAACGTGCCGGGCCTGGCCAACATTTACTGTCAAGTCGGCAGTCGGAATTGGCAACCGGAATTTTGGTGGCCAATGGCAGTGCCAGTTACAGTCATCGTGCCAGTTCGTCCTGTTTCTAGGACATACCTTTCACCGGCACAGGTTCAAAGTCAAGGTTTCTTAATATCAAAACCCGAAATAAAATAAACAAATAAATTTCATTTAAATCCTATTTGGCTTATATTCTATAATAGTATTTTCTATTGATTTGTATAATACATTATCCTGGCAAGTTATGCAAACTAAGTGGCTTGCATAAATGCCATTCCATTACTCAATAATCAGCCAACTGCTACTGTATGACTTATATAAGTCTACCAACAAATTGGCAAAAGCCAACTCACAGGGCACCACCTGTTGATCGGAAAACCATCCATCCAACCACCCACCCTCAGTAGCCTGTTTTGAAACGCACTGTACTACTGGTCCGAGATGGGGACGGGAGCTATTTGCTCTCGTTTCACCCCCAAATGGCCTCAGGCTTGGCCCCAAATTGGCTGCAATGGTAGCCAGTCCCCTTCTCACTTTTATTTTTTTCTCATATTTGTCGGCGCCCCTGTCTCTGGGAAATTCTTTACTCGTTAGCCCCGGCAAAAGTCGGTGGCAGGACCTTGACAACAGGGCAACAGGATCTACGCTGCTGTGGTTCTGGTTCGGTTCAATCAGCAAAGTGAGAGAAAAATTGTGAGGTCTTGTTATTTTATAAATTACTAAGGTCACACTTCTTAGATAAAGGTGATTTTGGTCACACTAGAAAGTTAAAAGCTGGTTATACTTTTTTGTTTTTACTTTTTAATGATTTCCAAACCAAGTAAGCCTTTAATTTTAGGTTTCTCTCCTTACGATTGAGATATATTCACTTATTAGAACAAGCTCGACCTAGAAAGACAATAAATCTACTTAGTAATCATGCCTCCTAAGAAGGATACATCCAAATCGACTGAAAAATCAAAAGAAGCTGATGATAAAATGAAGAAGCTCTGTGAAGAAAAATATATGAAGGAGCATGAGAAGAGATCTTATCTGGATGATCCATACAAGTCGAAGGCAGGCTCCTCGAAGGCGAAGAAACCCAAAAAGGTAAAGTCTGTTCCAAGCCATGTTTCAGGCGACAGTTTGGATGAAGAGGGCGAAGAAGAGTCTGACTACTACTTTCCCATTAAGAAGTTTCTTCCAAAGAAGAAGGATCCAAAGAAGAAGGACCCAAAGAAGAAAGAGGAGGAAGAAGAGGCTTCAGAAGAAGAGGACGAATTCTGGGAATAATTTTTTTGAAGAATTCGAATATTGCGAGAGCCATTTGTTTAAATAAAAATTCTTAATGTTGGCTGCTTAATATTAATTTTTTTTAAGTGTATTTCTATATATTTGGCTGACTGCCAGCGTAATTCTTGCAACTCTTGTTTTGGTTCGTTGGCTGATTGTTGTGGTCGCCTGTTTTTCAGCTTCCCTGCCTTCTAACTCATCTATCTGTGTATCTGTGTATCTGTATCTGTATCTGTAGCCTGTAAATGTATCTATATCTGTGTATTTCATTTGTTGTCGCAATGGCTTGTTTAGCGTTTCGAATGACATAAAAATAATGATTCGCTCCTAATTGTTGGCCATACAATTATGCATAATTATGTTGTTATTATGCTACTCCCCAGTCTATATATTATTCCTTTGATTTTCGAAACCCCCTCTGGTCTATTGTTGGTTTCCATTCCATTGGCTTTCAGCTGTCAGTGGCCATGTCGAAGGGATCCTTATTGCATAATCTCCCGAACACAATAAATGAATTTCATTGCCAGAATGTGCGGGTTCGGTTCGGTTCAGTTCGATTTTATTTTATTATACAACGAACCAGGCCCTGTCTGGCCCTGGCCCAGGACTTGTTTTTTCCACCAAGACATCCTTTGGTCCTTGCTGGCACAGCTGTGATGTGGCTGGCACTCCTGCATCCTTTTTCGTGCCACAAAGAGGCAACCGGAAGTATTCATAAAACTGTTGCAAGCTCTAAGTGGTAGCGACAAAAAGCAGGCGCCACTTTTTACAACTAATGTGCCCCCTCTAGATGGGGTTTCTTGCCTCATTCCACACGTCTCTGGCTTTAAGAATTTCAATTTCAGGCTTATGTATGTTTTCTCTTTCATGGAACAATGAACTTTTCCCCTCTCTACAATTCAAACTAAAGCTAGCTGTCTCGACTCTATTTGTAAAAGCCTGTCAAAATGCTACGATTTGGTTGCAAAATAGAAACTCTCTTGCGTTTTCCAGCACTTGGAAAAAAAACGTCATATCTCTTATATTTATACCCTTGCAGAGGGTATTATAATTTTGTCCAAAAGTGTGCAACGCAGTGAAGGAGACATCTCCGACCCTATAAAGTATATATATTCTTGATCAGGATCACCTCCTGAGTTGATATGAGCATGTCCGTCTGTCCGTCTGTCCGTCTGTCCGTCTGTCTGTCCGTCTGTCTGTCTGTCCGTTTCTACGCGAACTAGTCTCTCAGTTTTGAAGCTATCGTCTTGAAACTTTGCACACACCCTTCTTTCCTTTGCACGCAGTATATAAGTCGGAACGGCCCGGATCGGCCGACTATATCCTATAGCTGCCATATAACTGATTGATCGGAAATGGTATAACTTTGGTGTTTTTAGAGTTAGAGAATTCAAATTTGACAAGAGAGCTATTTTTGGCAAACCATTACGACATGCCAAATTTCATAAGGATCGGCCGACTATATCTTATAGCTGCCATATAACTGAACGATCGGAAATGACCCAACTTTCGTGTTTTTGAAGATAGAAAGCTGAAACTTAATACAGATTATATTTTTGGCCAGATGATCCAACCTACCAAATTTCATTAGGATCGGCCGACTATATCCTATAGCTGCTATATAACTGAACGATCGGAAATGACCCAACTTTTGTGTTTTTGAAGATAGAAGTTTGGGACAATTTTAGGTTTCGTTTTTGTATTATAATAAATTGGGAAATATTATCATATTCTCATAAGGATCGGCCAACTATATCCGATGTTTGCGATATATATCCGGTTTTAACTGCAAGGGTATATAAACTTCGGCTCCGCCCGAAGTTAGCTTTCCTTTCTTGTTTTTTATCAGATTCTTAAGCGGAGTACCTCAAACGATTTCTGGATCGATTCTCCGTCATTCTGCATCAAAATCTAGGATCGAAATATTTTTTCAATTTTTTGTCCATTTTTCCTGATGGGACCCCTTGAAAACGGGGTTTTCCCATATAGGGCCCACGGCGATGTCTATATCTTCCCCAATTCTGATCCGATTCTCAAGCGGAGTACCTTAAACGATTTCTGTATCGATTCTCCGTCATTCTGCATCAAAATCCTGACACAAAATATTTTTTAAAGTTTTTGTCCATTTTTCCTGATGGGACCCCTTGAAAACGGGGTTTTCCCCCATAGGGCCCACGGCGATGTCTATATCTTCCCCAATTCTCACGCGATTCTTGCGGGGAATGTCTTTAAAGATTTGTAGTTGAATTCTCAATAAATTTCGCTCAGAATTTTGTTCAGTTTACTTTGCATTGCTTGTGTTTACCTTTCACAGTTTAAAAATACGAATTCAATCAGAACTGATGGCGGAGAAGGAAAGTGGCAGCTCGAAGGCGACTTGCAACTGCAACTGCAACTGAATGTTAATGGCCAACAGTCAAGTCGGAGTTGAGCTTCTACGACTTCAATATCCGCGGCTGTCAGCGGCAACCGGAAGTTGGAGGAAGGCGGCAGGATGAAGGCTGGACGAAGGCTGCAGCCAGGACTTGAAGTTAGCATTGAATCGAAAGTCGACAGTTGCATATTGTTTAAGTTTATTTTATTTTCTGCATCTGTATTATTATTTTATTTTTTTTTTGGCGGACTTAAGCCACTGACAGCTGCTGTCAAAGTGAACCCAGCCAGTGGACGGTGAAAGTGTAATGAAATCCGGATTACAGATCAAAGGGGATGCGACGTGGTGTGACTTCTGACCCCGCTGTCAGGTGGGGATTAAGCCAATTGAGTGGAGTGCCCAGTGGCTGACAGTGGTTGACTGTCAGTGGGGGGTATTGTGGGTGGACTGAAGAGTGGGGATTGCCTTAATTGAGGGCCCGGTGATGAGCCCCAAGAATCTTAGCCTGGTGGTCTGGTTGCCATGGGTTAAGTGTCAAGGTCAAGATATCATGATGCAACAAAGAGGATAAGCTATGGTTTTTGTTACAAAATATTATCTTTTTCTATAGTTTCTGCTAGTAATTTGTTAGGTTTAATATTTAAATTAATATTTATTTTTCTTTGTAACTGCTATCCGCCTACGTTTACATAAATTTTCTCATAACATTTCACATTTTGCATTACGCCTTCTGCACATGTGTTTATCTCTGTGTGTGGGTGGGTGTGTGTGACCTCTACTAAGTGGCTGCCCCCTCTTGACCCTCTCTCTCTCTCTCCCTTGGCCTTTTTCCCTTTGAGTTTTTGGCCAAGCAGCTTACTGGGCTATCCCTTCAGAACTATTCACGAGAAATTCGTATTCGTTGGCGAGAGAAAAAAAATTTGTAGCATACTTTGCTGCGTTTGGTGGCGGCTGCTGGCTACTGCTACTGCTTCTGGTACTGGTGTTGCAGTTGCAGTTGCAATTGCATTTTGCCCCATTTGCTTTTACTACAAAAATAACAAAAAATAAAAGCTACAATTACAACACACAACTGTGTGTTGTGTTATCCGGTTTCTGGTTTCAGTTCTCCGGTTTTTCGGCTTTCCGTTTGAATGCCCGCCTTTTTTTCGCTGCCCGCCTATTGTACTGAGGGCACTGAGAGAAATTTTGAAGGGAAATAGTTCTAGATCTAGATCCTAGATAGAAGAGATATTTGAGATAATAATTGAGAAAAGTATCTTTTAAAGTTTTCTTTCATTTCTTAGACTTTTAGTTTTTCTTTCTATTTCTTTAAATAATTTTTTTCTTAGTGTATTTCCGGATTAGCATAACTTTTTGGTACTGCGTTTGGTTTGCCGTGGTTTTTTTTTTTTGGCCAAACCACAGTCAAGATGGAAACTCTTTGTTTTCTGTCCTTTGGCTTTGTTGTTTTTTTTCGGCGGCCAGCGAATAAGCAAAAACATGGCCAACAGCCCACACTGGCAAGAATAATATCTGCAGGATTAACCCACAAGGCCATGGTAACTCGAGGGCTTATTGCCGACATGACAGGCGCTAATTATTTGCATATTAAACGAGCCATACTGTAATTAAACCCAACAAAAAGGCCCTTGAATGATAAAAATACATTATATTAAAGATCGAAGGATATAAAGGATCTGTTTATATGGAATTAATTAAAAAGCTCAAGCTCTGTAAAATTCTACGCTTTTTGTTTTTGTTTACATTCTAATTAAATTAACTGCAGTGGTTAGATAGTTGTTGTTATCAGAGAACCCGCACCACATGGCGTATGATTAATGCGGCTCGTAAAATATATTACGCATACGCAATGGTGACCGCAAAACAAATTAAAACCGAATACGAAACACGAAACACGAATGCGGGTCGCAATCAATCGATTTACTTTACTTTACATAATCACAATAAAAACAAAATAAATAAATAAATAAATATTTATATATATATATAAACATTTAATCAAATCATTGGTGGATTATTGCTTGATTTTGTTGTCATATCGATTTCATCAATCAGATTACCAATTACGTGTCGTTCTTTTTCGTTTTTTTTTTCTTATTAATATAGATTTTCCCTAAATGATTTCGATTACCATCAGACATTTGCCTTAATTGTGCCTCATTCTGATGGTTTTTGATGGCATTTCATTAAATTCATTTAACTTGAAGCATTCCACAAAATCATTTCAATTAGAGGATAGATGGTGAGGTTGGATTTCTCTTAAAGAAGTTAAGTATTTCTTAAAAGCAGGCATTTATCCTATGCATTGTTTCTTAAAGATGTAATATTTCGTAAAATTGGGCATTTATTTTCTAAATTTATCATATAATTTCTTGCTTTAAAAACCTAATATCCATAAACTTAATATTTAATATTTCCCCAAAACACCTCAATTGACTTTAGTATCTCCATTACACTTAAAAAAAAATATAAACAATAGCCTGTATAAAAAAAAAACAATATAGATGGCTAATGTTTCTGCTGCGCTTTGCACTTTTTTTTATATTTTTTTTCTGCTGTTTTTTGAAAAAAAAACGCAAAGACAAAGGCCTCGAAAAAATCAGACAACGTTAAGAGGCGTGCC